TCCTCTGTTAGTAGATCTACTAGTAATGGTTCCTTTGTTAGTAGATCTACTAGTAATAGTTCCTCTGTTAGTAGATCTACTAGTAATGGTTCCTTTGTTAGTAGATCTACTAGCAATAGTTCAATTGTTAGTAGATCTACTTGTAATAGTTCCTCTGTTTGTTAGTAGATTTACTGGTAATAGTTCTTCTGTTAGTAGATCTACTAGTAATAGTTCAATTGTTAGTAGATCTACTTGTAATAGTTCCTCTGTTAGTAGATTTACTGGTAATAGTTCAATTGTTAGTAGATCTACTAGCAATAGTTCCTTTGTTAGTAGATCTACTAGTAATAGTTCAATTGTTAGTAGATCTACTAGTGATGAATCCTATCTTATTAGATCTACTAGTAATAGTTCCTTTGTTAGTAGATCTACTAGTAATAGTTCAATTGTTAGTAGATCTACTTGTAATAGTTCTTCTGTTAGTAGATCTACTAGTAATGGTTCCTTTGTTAGTAGATCTACTAGCAATAGTTCCTTTGTTAGTAGATCTACTAGTAATAGTTCAATTGTTAGTAGATCTACTTGTAATAGTTCCTCTGTTAGTAGATCTGCTGGTAATAGTTCCTCTGTAAGTAGATCTTTTAGTAAAAGTTCATCTTTTAGTAGATCTACTAGTGATGGTTCCTATCTTAGTAGATCTACTAGTAATGGTTCCTAACCTGGTTCCTCTGTTAGTAGATCTGCTAGTAAAGGTTCTTGTTCCTCCTGTGGCAACCAACGGACTAGTGAACCTAGACAACCAGCTGCAGCAAGCCTAGTCATATCCTCACTGTGAGTTAATACCACAGACAGCAGGCTAGCGGTCACACCACGCCGTATTGTAGGAGACAGCTTATCCCCGTTTCCGGAGATACATCCTCGCATAGCCTGGAGATATGTCTCACGGACAGTGGTGTCATCATGTTGGGTTTTCAATCCAGTATGGAGTTCATTGAATAATGGGTCAGGTCTTGTATGAATAGACACAAGATGGGACAATGCTGTTCCAGCCTTCAACCTTACAGTCCTGTTGGTGTCATTAAGTGCTTTAAGGAATGTTGTCTGTAGTTGAGGAAGGAATGGTTTAAGCATACTGCTCGCCTTTTCTAGTAGTATAGCCAGGGTATCCAGTACAGCAACCTTTACAGTATGCACAAACCTGTCTCCCAGAATGCGGATCAGGGGCCCTGTGATATGTACAACTGAAGTCTTCAAAGCTTCGGCAGATGTAACCTTGATAACCTCTCCCAATCCCTGTGCAGCAGCTTCCTTCTGTTCTGGTGTTCCGTTCAAGATACTCTCCCTGAAGATGGGTAGGACAGGAGCAATCCCCTTGGCTATACAGAACCCAGGAAGGAGGTATCCTTCCTTCATATCTGATACAGCAAACCTTAGTGCTTGACGCACGTCATGAAGATGATTACGCTGGGCATCAGCGTCCAGTGTCTTGGTCACAGCATTCAGTGCATTCCATGCCTCTAGCAGTACTCCTTCATCCTTATCCGTGAAGAGGAGTATAAGAGAGCGAAGGAGCTGCGGAACATATTCAGAGAAATTAATCTTGGTTTGTTCACAGAAACCGTGCAGCAGGGTCACAGATCCACGCCGTGTAGCAATATCCTTGGATTTGCACGAGTCCAGCAGAATATCCATAACATATGAGACTCCAATATCGTCCGTAACCGCCAAGATGACCGCCTGACAATACTGAAGCTCTTGGACCTCATCCTGGGTCCCGTGGGAGTCTGAAAGGGAGGCAAGCAACGCTGGCAATATCTTTGCTAGATGTTTGTTCAATGCCTCACCGGCCACAGAGGCAAGAATACTCAACGCCTTTGTGTTGACCGGTTTAGCGGTGAGCTGTGGCACCAGGTAGGGTAGTACAGCCCTGGACTTGATCGCCATGACTTGCCGAAGACCGTCCAACGTGTTCTCATGCTGTTCTGGATCAGCTAGCTGTTCCAGCATGTGGGGTAGAATATCATCCAACGCCTTTGCACCAACTGTTGTGTGCAAGGAATCAAACGTGCGCGCCGCCGCAACTCTTACTTCAGGATCTTTATCACACAGTGCCCGGCGAACTGTTGGAACCAGAGAGTCGACGAAGGACATGACCATCTCCCGGGAGGTGGAGGTCAGGATCTCGGAGAGCCCAACACACACTCCCTGTCTCTTATCCGACTCCTCGGATCGTAATCCCTTTTCTAGGATTGGGATTATCTCAGGGAGCACTCGCTCACCAAGTTTGCGAACAAGATCTCCCAGCGTGCGTGCAGCAACCTGATTAAAAAATGTTAATGGAATTGTTAAGTTTTTCTATGGAAAAATGTAGATAAAAACAAATTTAGAAAACTGCTCCAAAATATCCCCAAAACGTCCTTAATGACGGGAATTTAAAAATTGTTTTGATTTCATAATTTTGTTAAAGCACCTGTCTTTTATCAAAGCTTGAGCTGGCCAGACAGGAGAGGAGAAGGTTGAAGAGTGTTGGTAGAATCTCCCTAAGTGTCCGGGGTGTGTTGGAGACAATGATCTTCCAGACATGCAGAGCCGCCTGGCGGACCATTAGTGCAACATCAGATCTACCCATGTACAAACCGGCCAATACACGGTTCCGCCTCTCAACACCCAACAGCTAGATTGAAAGATAGCATTAAATAAATTCAAAAAGATCAAATAAATAAACAAATGAATAAATAATTATTTAAAAATTAATGAACAAAACAATGAATAATTGAACAAAATGAACAAATAAAAAAATTAAAAAATTAACAAATGAGCAAACAAACACATAAAAAAATAAAAAAGTAACAAATACAAATTAACAGATGAAAAAATAAACGAGTGAACGTATGAACAAATCAAATCAAATGTATGAACGAACCAAATAAACAAATAAACAAAATGAATGAACAAACGAACTAACAAATGAACAAAATGAATGAACGAACGAATTAACAATTGAACAAAATGAACGAACGAACGAATTAACAAATGAACAAAATGAATGAACTAACGAATTAACAAATGAACAAAATGAATGAACGCAAGAATTAACAAATGAAAAAAAAGAAGAAAGGATGAATATACAAATGAATGAATGAATGAACGAACGAACGAAGGAACGAAGGAACGAAGGAACGAACGAACGAACGAACGAATTAACAAATAAACGAACAAAAGGATGAACAAAAGAATATGAGTATATGAAATAAATATTGACCTTTGTAATAATAGTAGAGGACGCTTCAGTTCCAAAATTATCGTCCTCTGAAGCAGTTTCTGTCGTCATCTTGCCACTTACACCTGATATCTTGTACAACAGGTCTCCAAGCAACTATACAATGCATACTTCGCAATCTTACTCTTTAAACAAATTTCGCCATCCCACTCTTTACCTATTTTGTCAAAATTTACAATTGAAACATCTTTAATAAGAAAATTCATTAGTAAAAGCAAAAAAGTTGTAAGGAGCAAAAAATCTTTAAGGGACTTTCAGCCCGTAAACTTTCTTCTTGAAAACAATGTCTTGGGATATTTTTAGACAGTCTCTTTAAGGTTGGATAATAAGTAAACTTTTTGAAGTATATATACACCCCTGAACAGAACTGTATCGAATCCTCCAGTTATCATCAAACAGACCCTGTATCAGACGATTTATTAGAAAAAAAGAGTAAAAACCCACCACGATTAGAAATCAATAGTTTCCAATCGGAATTCCGTGGCGCGGAATTGTGCACGAAATTCATAAGATTAAAATAATTAATTAAAATATCAATGTTATACATCTGGAAAATGTTATGAACGAGAAAAGAGCGTCTGATACAGAAAGCTAATAGAAATTCTTTGAAGACCGAAGTGGCTTTTGCGCATTTCTGCTGTCAGAATTAGCAAAGAAATTGTAAGAATTGAACCCTTTTCAAGCCAGGAAAACAATAATATCGTCCAAAGTTATTAATTAGACGATTACTCTACAAATGGAGGCTCAGCCCAAGCCCCTTTAGGTCAGTGAAATTTATGGTTTAAACCAAATAGATTATAAAGTACAATAGGTGGCAACATAGAAATGGACCAATTATACACTACGTCACAAGTGTCAAATATAACAAGGAAAACAAAATTTTCTCACATTAGTTGACATGTTTTCCAAGATTAGATAAAAACGTGTAAAAACAGAAATAATTACGACTGCAGTCCCTTTAAACTTGATTATTCTAATATATTCCTGCTCAAGCTGAGGTAGTAGCAGTGTTATAGCGGAGTCTGCGTACAGGTTTACTATACGCTGTCCAGCCTTCAGAGCAGTCTCTCGGACATATTCATTCTCATCTGCTAGTGCTCTCAGGATAGGTTGGACTACCTAGATAGATAGATGGATATATAGAGATAGATAGATGGATATATATATAGATAGATAGATAGATGGATATATATATATAGATAGATAGATAGATAGATGGATAGATAGATAAACAGATAGACTAATGGATTTTAATTAAGAGCAGTCTCACGGACATATTCATTCTCATCTGCTAGTGCTCGCAGGATAGGATGCACTATCTGGATAGATAGATAGATAGATATATTACAGATAAATTAATAACAAAACAGATAGATTGCACTTTACCATTGCACTTATTATACTTAGTATATTCTGCTTATGCCATGTACTCAATAAACTATAAGTCTACTCAACCTCTCCTTAGTACTTATTAAACTGTAAAAGTGTACTTCTTTGATGAACTCACTATAATTGTACTTATCACTACTAAGTACTTAACTGTAAAAGCGTACTTCTTTGATGTACTCAATGAGCATAATTGAATTTACCTCTCCAATAAACACATTAAACAATTAACACAGACTAGATATATACAGACTGCTTATTAGCTTTCAAAGGCTAGGCTAAGCAGGTCTATGGTCGTACCAGCACGACATGGTTTATTCTTACAAAACTGCCATAAATGCAATATTTGTTGCATATAATACTCATTCAGGGGTTAAGCTTTACAATTTTTAAAGAAGAACTAATACTTTTAACATAAAACCTAAAATTTATGAATTTAGTCTATTTTTACAGGTTTTGTATTTCGTATCCATAGGATTCTTAATGATCCTGAATATGTGTACATAATTCTCCAGTGTACCCAGTCTTAAAAATATAAATGTACTGTACCTCTCCGATGTACTGCATGAACTCCTGCTGGAATACCCCCGGGAAGTAGATGAAGAGCATGATGTAACCATCCTTGACATGAGGAGCAATATCTAATCTTTCTGCTGTACTAATTATCTCCGGCATAAGTTTGTGCATCTTATCAACTCCTAGTCCTCCGACAACCTCCGCTAAACCCTGGGCTGCACCAGATCTAAACCAAGAAATCAGTTATAAGATATTTACCAATAAAATTAGATAGATAGATAAATATAATTTTAAACAGATTGCAAAAATATTGGCAATACAACCGTATTATTTTTATCATATAAAAAATAGGCTTTATTTAATATAGAATAGTAAAAAAAAACACATTTAAAAATTAAAAGACGATGGTTTGCCCTCGTTCCGGATCCTACCTGTCCACACTGCTGGTCTCGCTGGTGAGGGTGCTCATCAACCAGGGCAGCAGGTCCTCGAACGAACTTTCACCCATTCCTCGAACCATCGCACCCAGCGCACGCGCCGATACTGCGCGCACCTGAAAACATTTGTTTTACAGGACAAACCATTCACAACACCCCTTAAAATTTAAATAAATAAATAAATTATTAAAAAAAGATAAACCATGACAAAAACGGAACCATAGCTACAAATTTACAAAAGATGACCTGAGGAAAAATGATAAAATTTTGGACGTCAAAAATCAAGGTTTTTTAAGCCTTTAAACTCAAAAATTACTTTTCCAAAAAATTCATTTATTCATTAAAATTTATTTTTTCATTAAAATTTATTCATTATAACATAACAGCGGGGAAAAAATTACTTTAAAAGGAGGGGGGGGGGGAATGATTTTTCAAGAAAATAAACACCCCTAGAACTAACCTCGGGAACAGGATCAAGAAGAGAATTCTTGAGTCCAGGAATAATTCCAGGTAAATAGGGAGCCAGGTCCTTCTGGTCAGTCAAGCTGTACATGTTTCCTGTACATTAGTAAACTGTAGATGTTTCCTGTACATTAGTAAACTGTACATGTTTCCTGTAAATTAGTAAACTGTACATGTTTCCTGTACATTAGTAAACAGTAGATGTTTCCTGTACATAAGTAAACTGTACATGTTTCCTGTACATTAGAAAGCTGTACATGTTTCATGTACATAAGTAAACTGTACATGATTCCTGTACATTACTATACTGTAAATGTTCCCTGTAAATTAGTAAACTGTACATGTTTCCTGTACATTAGTAAACTGTACATGTTTCCTGTACATTAGTAAACTGTACATGTTTCCTGTACATTAGTAAACAGTAGATGTTTCCTGTACATAAGTAAACTGTACATGTTTCCTGTACATTAGTAAGCTGTACATGTTTCATGTACATTAGTAAACTGTACATGTTTCCTGTACATTTGTAAACTGTAGATGTTTCCTGTACATGTTTCCTGTACATTAGTAAGCTGTACATGTTTCCTGTACATTAATAAGCTGTACATGTTTCCTGTACATTAGTATACTGTAAATGGTTCCTTTACATTAGTAAACTGTACACGTTTCCTGTACATTAGTAAACTGTACATGTTACCTTGTACATGTTTCCTAGCTGTACATTAGTATACTGTAAATGTTCCTGTACATTATTAAACTGTACATGTTTCCTGTACATTAGTAAACTGTACATGTTTCCTGTACATTAGTAAAAACAATTACCATTTTTGTTTGGAATTAAAATTAAAAAAACAAGTATTTAACGAAAACTTATTTTTTCAAACAAAATTAAATTTACCAATAATCTGGGCCGCCATTTTCCTAGTCTCCGTAGATCTGTCCTAAACACGAAAACAAAATATAGAATTGATAAAAACAGTTTTTCAACTTATGCATTTTTTTTACCTGAAAAGCACGCTGCACCGCAGGCATGATGAGCGCCAAACTAGGCGCATCGATAAAGTGAACAAACTTTGTATTGAGCAGTGTTTGTAAACAAGAGCTGGTTTTCTTTGATGGATCCTGCAGAGCTGCCAGCAGTACAGGCACAATTGCTTGTATCTCGGGATTTCTAAAATGTGAAAGAATTAAAAAAAAAAGATGACTGAAGTGAACACAAATAATTTTCGGGTAATTTTTTTTTTTTTTTAATAATAAGTTTGGGTACAATTGAAGGCAGACAGGAGGAGAGCTGCTTGGGAGCACAGAAAGCCATTGCTCCCAACAGTTCGATAGATCCAGCCTAGATCAAATTCAGTTATAATATTTATCACCTTGTAAATGGTCAAGATTTTTATCTCATGTTAAAGGAATTGTTCACCATTTGAAAAAACACCTAATAACATAGTTTACGAATTCAGGAAAACATACATTACGAAATGGGTGATTGAACAATCCCTTTAATAGTTTGTTGCTCCACTTTAACCTTTGTAACCGCTCACCCTTATCAAAAATAAAAAATACTCCCTTTAATAATAATAACAAAGCAATCATATCCCTTAATCCTGAACTAAACTCAACCCTGATCATATTCAAAAGTTCTGTGTTCTAAGCTTAGGACTTATGAATGGGAACTTTATTTGAATGAACCGGTGATTGACCTTAACTCTTTCCAATTATTTATAAGTTTCAAGCTCTGGTTACTTCACCTTTGTTCTCCACTGGTCCTCTTCTAGAGCTGCGAGAAGACTTGGTAGAACCAACTTTACTCCATGGGCAGATAGCTTACTCATTACAGCCTACTCATTATAATAGTAATAACTCTAATAAAATAATAGTTACAAATAATCTATATAATAAAGCTCTCAACTCATAGATAAATATATAATATACTACAGTGATTACCAGAAAACTCTGGAATAGGGAGACGACTTTCAGACTCAATTAATGACTCTTAAAAGTGCAATGAACATGAGACAACACAATAGTGCGGTGTAAAAAGGGCCAAATGACTTTACAACTGATTTTATAATTTACTTGAAAAACTTTTTACTTTGTAACTGCATCAAATACTATTTATTATTGCTTTAATGTCGTCTTAGTATTTTCCAGTTTTCTGGTCCTCACTGTAGCTTGAAGTGCCTGGCGTTGCCCGTAGAATTTTAAAAGAACTTTGTAAACAAATACTTTTCGTAAATTTAAAAAGTATTCAGATTCGATATGTTAGCTATAGCTGAGCAATCGGTTAAACGAAATTAGCTGCTTTTTTATAAGAAACCACGACCGGGCACTTGAGCTAGTAAATAAATAAATACATATAAATTAATAGTATTAATAATACTAATAATTCTGAATAATACAAGTACAAATATCAAATGCAGTACCTTAGCACAGTCATCAGTAGCATCACGTACAAACTGGTTAGCGTCACCAAAACAAAGCAGAAGATGGGGCAGTACATGTACTATGTACGGTTCAAACAATCTAGACAATTAACAATATATTATTGTCACCAATAAATTGAGAAACTGTACAATGTACAGAATTATCCACAAAGGATGAGACTGTAAAGACGACCTGAAACTTCTTAAATACGACGTTTGCAATGTTAGATTCAGTATTCTGCCGTGAATACATTCTTTTAATGGCCTATTTAATGCTTAGGTAAAGAAAGAAACAAAGTTACAGTTGAAGGGAATCTAAAATATACGGAAACAGACAGGGTAATTTCGTACAATCGTCTCTGAAGTCTTATCCTTTGTGAGTATGGGTAACCCTGTACAGTGTACATCAAAATTTCCAATTTAACTTGGGTCAATATAGTCCGCTCTTTACCTTCCAAGCATGCTGCAGAGCTGTGAGAGAGCCAAGAGAGCGCCTTCACGATGTCGGTGGTTCTTCTTATCCTGTAGCGCTTCGGTCAACCTGGGCAATCAATCAATAAATGAATCAATCAATGAATCATTCAAAGGATGAATGAATGAATGAATGAATGAATAAATAAATCAATAAATCAATAACTCAATGAATCAAAAAATCAATCAATGAATCATCCAATGAATCATTCAATAAATCAGGCAATGAATCATTTAATAATTATTCAATGAACTAATTAGTAAATTAATCAATCAATCAATCATTCAATCACCAACCAACATTGAACATTATAATGGATGTCTCAATCATTAAAATAAAATGTTACAGAATAAACTTACTTTGACATAACATCCAATTGTTTTAAAGCTAAGATTCCCAGGCCCTTAATAAGTCCAGCCAACCCGTAGGCAGCCCCCTTTCTCTCTCCATAGTTCTCTGTAGTGAGGAGGGTGTTCAATAGTCGGTTCACAATATCCGGGGCTTCATCCTTGATGCTGGGGACCAGGGGAGGCAGGCAGTTGGCTACAGCCTCCTGGACAGACTGGGATGGGGTTCCCAGGGCATTGATTAGCTTGGCAATGATAGGACGCACCTTAGGATTATCCTAAAACCAGTTCATTATAATTTTCTCAAATATATAAATTTTATTTAAATATTAAGTTTATACTTGCCTTTTCAAGATGGCGTGCCAATGAACCCATCAGAATAACCACTGACTGGCGCACTGTGTCATAGCTAGAATCATCAGGAGCTGTATCAAGAAAATCTTCAAAGACTGGCAACAAATCCCCGACCGAATCCTTCCCATGCAGATCAATAGTGGCAATTGCCGCGTTCAACATTTCCTTGCGCACCGCCTCAACACGATCCCCAAGACCCTTGGGAACAAAAAATGACACGGCCTGAGTTACCATGAAATCATTGTAATATGGAGCAATTTTAGCAATTGCTATAGCAATACCAGTCCTTGGCTCCCAGTGATCAATGGCTGGTTCCACAATTCTTGAACAAAATGAAACTTAAATTTCTAAAGAAAAATTACAAGCAAAAATGAATGGACTTGCAAAATAGAAAAAATATTGATTAAAGTTTTCCATCAGAAACATAAGTTTCACTTCCCTTCCAAGAGAATCAACAAGTGGCGGTGTCATTATCATCTTCTCTTCATACATCTCTAGAAGTTGTGTCAGCGCAGCTCCTGCCAATTCAGCATCTGTTGAGAGCAGCTTAGCCAGAGACTCAGCTGCTGCACTTCGAACCTTAAACGCAACATTTTAATAACATTCTTCTAATATTGTAAAATCAAAATACCTTTCCAACAGGATGAGCTACGTCCTGAAGAACCTGGGCAGAAAGCCCTGGAATCGTTGATAGTTTCAGTAGATCCCAAAGCTGGTCTGCTAGTTCTCTGTTCTCAGGGAGCTGATCACATCTTAAAACCCAGACACGTCTAACCACCTCAGCATACAGTTCGTTGCTACCATCCTTAGGCAGAGCATTTTGCATTCCTAAGAGTGCGCGAATTCCTGCATCACGAACAGGATCACAGTCTGACTGGAGAGAGGTTAAAAGAACAGAGATTTCCTTTTCATCAGCATGGGCACAACCTGACTCTCCAGAAGCGCATTCTGATGCATCTATTAATGCTTTCACGGCTGCTTGTTGCACCACACCATCAGTTTTAGCAATCACATCAAGAATTAGAATGAGAATATCTGCCCGTGGCAGATACTTGGGATGAAACATGTCGGATTCGTCATCGTTGCCACGTAGTGAAGTGTGCTCTGTTATAAGTTCGAGGCCTTCTGTTAGTACAGAGTGGTCTAACATATGCACGTTCATACCTGCTTTGATTAATGGGAAGCAATAAGCAAAAGCAGGAGCAGAAAGTGGACAAGATGAATCATCTTCCTCCTCTTCTACAGGAGGAACACAGCTCTTATTAAGCATCTCCAGGCTTTTCTTTAAAGCTGTCTTTAGCTCTGTTGAATTCCAGGTAAACTCTAATTCATAGGCTGGCTTCAACACCTGAAGAGTGACTGCTGCAACGGTCTGGGCCATAGTCTCATCCTCGGCAGTAAAAACAGCATGCCTCAATTCCATAAATATCTCTGCCAGGGATTTGGCAATGAGAGGACTTTGCAGGGCTTTGTAAACAACAGGTAGCAGTTCAGTGATGTCCCCAGCAAAGGCTTGAGGATTGCCAAGAACAGCTGCTCGGAACAGATCAACAGCCGGGTTGGTGACTGCAAGAACTCCACTAATTTTCTCTCTGATCACAGCTTCCTTCTCAAGTTGCGCTTTCATTGCCTCCTTCTGCTTGGAGGTGAGTTCAGGCTTCTTCAGTTTCCCCTCCTTTCTCCTCTTCTCCTCCAACTCCTTCCTCAGAGCCAGCTCCTCCATCTGCTCCTTGTAGGAGTACGCCTTGTTTTCTCGTCGTATATTAGCAGAACTAAAGCAAGATGGATAGAAAAATACTCCTTTTTTTTAACTGTATTTTCAAGCAAAAATGTCAAAAATAATGAAAAATATTTAAGATTAGACTTATCAGGAACACAGGTAAGAAAAACAGAAAGGGAGGAATGCATGGTATCTTGTTCCAAAGGAACCAATCTTTAAAGTGTTTTAAGAAATTAAATCTAATAAGAATAAGATTATTAATAATTCAAGTTTTTCTATTGGCATCCCTGCTGTCGTTTTTAGAGCTCTCAATGACGGATTTGTCGTAAAGTTCTCCAGCTGGGGTCAAGTAGATCTGGTAATCATTGACATCTGCAGTAAGAAGGTCCCTGCTGACCAGGACAGTGTTGAGGTTGTTAAGGATAAAGGGGAGGAGAACTCCTGGGCAGAAGCTAACCAACTGCTTGACCAACTCCTCTCCAACAGCAGAGCATTCAGTCATCTAACCCAGCATCAACATTAGAAAAAGTCACCAATCAATAATTTTCATTGAATCTCATTAATTTAATTTAAGAAATAATTGTGGCAAATCCCCAAAGTAGAATCCCCAGACCACTATTGGACGTCAAAGGACATAGCACCCAGTCAATGCGGCACCCAGATGTAGTTCCCCCTATCCCATCGAGGGAATTTTTTGAATGAGAGAGTGTTCATGATTTTGCAACTTTTCTATCTACCACTAAATAATGGTCAGCATTTCATGTTTTTGAGAACGATTGAAATATTTTGGGCATTTTTCTAATAGAAATTTCATTTCTTGATAAATTTAAGATTAAATAGCATAAATTTAAATTATAAAACATATGAAGACAAGAATAGTTGAAGCTTCCTGCTGAAGAACTGTCTGTATAATCCTGGATTGATGTCTAAGCAAGAAATCTGAAGCATCCAACCCCAATGATTTGGCCATACGCAACCATAAACCTACAAAATAAAATATCTAACTCAAACATAAGTATTATTATTATTCATAACTATTCATCATTCATTAAAAAAAGAACGTGATTATTAAGGAAGGATTCAGGGGAAAGTGGGGGTATACCTGGATATATCTGGGCTACCAGGGGAAGGTGGGCGGGTACAAGGGTGGAGAATAGTAGCTCCTCCTTCTCCTCTGGAGTACCCTCTACAGGAACAAGGCTGGTCAGGACGGAGATGACCCAACCAGCCGGAGTAGCGTCCGAGGCAGCTATATCCCCGCCCGCGACCACTTCTCTACACAAAACTTTACGATAAAAGCGCAATTAGATAATGATATAAGAAAAAAGCATCCCATCAGACGTTAAGTGCCAAAGCCCACTGATATTAGAATAAATGATAATAATGAACAATTAAACATCATACAGTGGAAATCAAGACCAAGCCACCTTCAGAAATTAAGTTGATAAATAACAAAAAAGCAATTTAATAAGAAACCCAAATGCTCTTCCATATCCAGAAGGCATATTAGAAGTAGGATAACAGTCAGACACTGGCAAACCCATCAAATACTTTTATCAACCTTAATTAATTCTAAAATGTTAGATTTAAAAATTGTGTTCACAAATTTCTGAAAAATCTTCATCATTATCGGGACTGTACTGGACTCTATTAATAGACAGGCATGTCAGAATCAATAGGGTACCCGTAAAAGCTTTGTCTGTTCCAAGAATGAACAAGATATACAGGGTTTTGTTTTTGAAAACTGATTATTTAATTATTTTCATTACGGTTTGACTCGCGCTTTTCTTTCTTCCGAGACGATGGAGAAATGTACAGAACTTAACACTTTAAGCTAGAAAACAGACATAATCTTCCACATTATTGATTTTTATTTCAGGGGTACCGTTGTAAATCGGTCATGCCCTTCTATTAATTGGTATGGGGGTCACTTAGAATTTCAACGACAGTCCCTTTAAATAACTGGTGATATTTACCCCCTGGTTGGTGTATCTAGTGTGAGAGGTTTATCCCTGACTAGTTCCCCCATCTCTAGGAGGAGGGAGGAGAGAAGAGCAGGTCCTCCTAGAGTACTCCCGATCCTTCGAACCTGCTGAACCACCTGCCGTCTAGGGTGGATAGGTAGGTAAGTGGGTGGGTAGTTAGATAGGTAGGTAGGTAGGTAGGTTGTAGGTGGTACGTGGTAGGTAGGTAGGTAGGTAGGTAGATAGGTAGATAGGTAGATAGGTAGGTAGTCAGGTACGTAGGTAGGTAGGTAGGTAGATAGATAGATAGATAGATAGATAGATAGATAGTAGGTAGGTAGGTAGGTAGGTAGGTAGGTAGGTAGTTAGGTGACGTATGTAGAAGTATGTAGAAGATAGTAAGAAGAAAAAATAGCGATTGTGGGAATATTCCCCCCTTCATTGAAAATTACATTTTTTTGTTTGGCATGGTGGACGGTGGTGGTTAAAAAGTGTAGATTTGTAGATTTGAAAAAATCTTTATTTTAAAAGTGCTTGAAAAATATACAAAGGTAGGAAGGTCTAAAAATATAAAAGTCTACTAAGATGACATGACGTTACCATAATACCTGACAGGTGATGAATGTGCTAGAAGAGCATAAACTAATCCTTTAAGAACAGGTTTCAACTTCGACCCTTCTAGCCTCGTAGGGAAACTGAATACACGTCAAATATTATTATTCACACATTTAAAACAATTTTGGAGCTTTGAAGGAACAATAGAGACAAAGCTATTTTGTAAAAGAAGTCAAGTATTAATTTAGGTAACACCCCCCCCCCCTCCTCAATAACCAATTGGGCCTACCGTTTAAATCGATTTTTTGGGGGGAAAACTAATATTTGTTTTCTATTAAACTTGAACGGTTTAGTACTATTTTGTTCAACCCCTTAAATATATATGAATATAATAAAGCTCTTTGCTCATAATGTATATTTTTCCGCTGGACCAAATAGGCTGACAACTTGTGCACACTTAAGGTAACATAGCAAGGCTAAACAACATTTAGATTTTTGTAAAATCCACAGGCTATAACGGGAACTTCAGCAAAAATCATGATTCAATACCAAGCGCGGGTCAGCGGTGGGATTAACTATGACTGAACAATATTATAAATCAAGGTTAATATTTAAGATAAATGAAGATATTAATCTCTGTTTGTCTGTCCGATCATAACTTAGGAACCTCTTACCGGATTTGCCTTAAAATTCGTACGGGGAACTCGGGAGAACCACGGGAATGTTCTTAGATTGGTTTTGAGATGGGCAACGCTGGGTTATCAAGCTAGTATTATAGACATCCTGCTGAAAGGGGTCTCCTACCTGATGAGAAGTGTTGTGCATATACTTCCAATAGACAGGAGGCAAGAACTCCCACAGTTACTAAATATGTTCATGTTCATGTTCATGTTCATGTTCATGTTCATGTTCATGTTCATGTTCATGTTCATGTTCATGTTCATGTTCCTGGTTGTGTTTGTGTTAATGTTTGTATTTGTGTTTGTGTTTGCGTTTGTGTTTGTGTTTGTGTTTGTGTTTAATGCTTATGCTTATGCTTATGCTTATGCTTATGTTTATGCTTATGCTTATGTTGTATTGTGGGAGAATACAGATTGTTATCTGATGACAATGAAACTTCATTTGGATTCTCTTTTTGGGTATTTTTGTCTGTGGTTTTTCTTCTTCATTATTGGCATGATATTCATATATCACATTAATATGCGGATAATACCAAAGTCAATATTTACGAATGTTTAGCAGATCAAGTAAAAAAATAAAGGACTTTTTTCTGTATTCGATTATTTTCGCTATTTTTATCTAAATTCTTGTTTTTGGATTTTCTCTTTATTTTTTATTATCTTATTTGACGAAAAAAGCAGAAACTATTACAGATTTTACGTAGTCATCATATCTATATTTAAAGCTTTTAAAGTTGGCGCAGTTTCTTATCACAGGGTACATTATTCCATGGAGAAACAACTGCTTGGCTAAAATGAAACAAACAAATAAATATACTTGGGCCCGTTCTCTACTAGTTCTTATTATTGTTCTCCACCATTTTAATGATAAAATGCACCTTTAAAGGGATTGTAAGCGTAATTTCAAGTTACCCCCAACGCAAAGATAGAAAAGCTCGATTCACAACGGTACCCTTGCAACTTTAAACACAAAGGTTTTAAGGGTACCTTTGTAAATCGGCCATTGCCATCCTGGAAATTACGCTTGAAGTCTCTCTTTAAGTGAGCAAATTATCCAAATAATCCTTTTAAGTATCTTAACTCACCTTAGAAACTTGTCATTAAAGAAAAGTGGTTTGTTAGAATCCAGGAAAAGAGGAAAAACATCATCTAATCATTAATACTATTTATTTAAGATGGAGGGAATAAAAACCGATGCAAAAATAAATAAAAGAAATAACATAAATAAATAAATAAATAAAATAACACAAAACGATTGAATGTTCAAAAGAATCAATAAAAGAAAGATGAATGTTAAAATAAACGACTGCAAATAAAGAAGAAAACAATGAAAACATTTTTAAATCAAATTCACGTCGAATCAATGAATAAACTGAAGAACTAATGGATGAATGAATAAATGAATGAATGTAAGGATGAATTCATGAATGAATAAAAGGATGAAAGGATGAAAGGATGAAAGGATGACTGAATGACTGAATGACTGAATGACTAAATGACTAAATGACTAAATGACTAAATGTCTAAATGTCTAAATGTCTAAATGACTAAATGACTAAATGACTAAATGACTAAATGAAAAATGACTAGATGCCCTTATGACTAAATGAATGAAATTTTAAATAAAAGACTACAATAAGTCAATGACTAAATAAATAAATGACTAAATGACGAAATCACAAGATGACTAAATAATTAAATGACTAAATAAATAATTAACTAAATGACGTAATTAATAAATTAATGGCTGCAATTAATATATGAATAAATAGATTATTTTCCTAGTTTAGATTCCACTGAAGTATCAACAGTAGCGAGTTTAACCAGACAAGCTGCAGCATGGACTCCCTGTACAGTACAACAAATTTATGTACAGTGTACACTATCAGTTTAATTTATGTACACGTAGTTCATGGCTTATATTAGTTCATGTACACTGTTCAATGAACACGTAGTACATGGCTAATAATATTTAATGTACAATAATGTTTTTTTTTGTAACTGTTTTTATATTACCTCTATTACTAACAGAGATTGTCCTGTATATTACTTCTGTTACTAACGGAGATTGTCCTGTATATTACCTCTGTTACTAACGGAGATTGTCCTGTATATTACCTCTGTTACTAACGAAGATTGTCCTGAAAATTACCTCTGTTACTAACTGAGATTGTCCTGAACATTACCTCTGTTACTAACAGAGATTGTCTTGAACATTACCTCTGTTACTAACGGAGATTGTCCTGAATATTACCTCTGTTACTAACGGAGATTGTCCTATATATTACATTTGTTACTAACAGATTGTCATGTATATTACCTCTGTTACTAACGGAGATTGTCCTGTATATTACCTCTGTTACTAACGGAGATTGTCCTGAATATTACCTGTTACTAACGGAGATTGTCCTGAACATTACCTCTTGCTAACAGAGATTGTCTTGAATATTACCTCTGTTACTAACGGAGATTGTCTTGAATATTACCTTTGTTACTAACGGAGATTGTCATGTATATTACCTCTGTTACTAACAGTGATTGTCCTGTATATTACCTCTGTTACTAACGGAGATTTTCATGTATATTATCTCTGTTACTAACGGAGATTGTCCTGTATATTACCTCTGTTACTAACTGAGATTGTCATGTATTTTACCTCTGTTACTAACGGAGATTGTCCTGTATATTACCTCTGTTACTAACAAACCAACCAACCAACCAACCAACCAACCAACCAACCAACCAACCAACCAACCAACCAACCAACCAACCAACCCAATTTTCAATGACATAAATTAATTCGTCAAACCCACTTAGACTATACCTTCATGTCCTTCAGTTTCCAGAAACTTAACAAATAATTCTGCTACAACACCAGCAGTTAGAACCATTCCAGATCCTTTATACAATAGTTAGATAGATAGATATATTCAGAGATAGATGTAGAGATATAGATAGATAGAAAGATATTTAGATACAGATATAACCACCAGGGATGAAGCTTCAATGACAACCTTAAAATGATTTATATTAAACAATCTGAATTTGAGGTTCTATCTAAAATAATGTTTTCTGCTCCCTAGGGAATCTGATCAAGAATGTAAGAAAAATGGCTGAATAAATTTGCAAAGTCTCCACTGTAGTCTCATCCTTTGTGAGTAAATCTGTATTTAGATACAGTGAACTCTGGGATAGGAAGTCGACTTTTAAACTCAAGAATTCAAAATAGTCCAATGCATATGAGGCACAGGGATTTAATACGCTATATTTGTTTTATAAAAGAATAAAATGCACTTCAGTAATGCTTAATGTCGTCTTCCTATTCTACAGTTTTCTGGTTATCACTGTATAGATGTAGATAAAGATAGAAAGAAAGATAAAGAAATAGATGTAGAGATAAAGATAGAAAGAAAGATTTATGGATAGATAGATAGAGTCGAAATGTACCTAGGACTTAAATTTAACTATTTGAACAGAGCTTCTGTGAAAAGACTTAAGATTCAGATATAAAACGGTTTAGTTATTTAAAAAAGAAAAAAAAGAATCACCTGACACAGGCGCTGTACTCAGGTTTCCAACCGCAGTCAACAGAGACACCTACCGAAAATATTTGGAGTTAAATTCATTGTTTATTTGTTGATAAAACGGGTTATTGTACCTTCTGCTCGTATACGGTGACCTTTCCTTCACTTCCACCCAATACAGCGAATATCTGCTTCACCAGCCCCTCAACCTAGAGGTCAACAGAATAAAGGTCAATTTCAAGAGGCCATTGGATAGGCATCTGTAATTTATTTTTGTTTGATCAACTGTTACTCATGCACACTGCTGAAAATGGACCATCAGGTTTCAAGTCAAAACACCTAAATTTTTTCTTTGTAATTTATTTATATGCAGTCTACTGAGTTATTATCTCAATTTTCTGAAAATGCCACCCATGGAATATTAAATTAATACATTTTAAAGAAATTATAGAAAAAAGTGCAGTTTCAGGTCTAAACTCAAACAGAACTGTAGTTTCAAGAATTAATCAAGCTTATTCTGTGTTTTCTTGCGATATTTTTAAAACCGTTAATGACAGGGTTTGTACATTTTTCTTAACAGTCATATAACACGTTTTAGCAAAAAATCAAAGCCTGACGTAAACTGTATAATTTCCTAACTACCGCCTAAAGAATTCTTTATGAAGTAAAATCAGTAAAAATTCAAAATTCAAAACACCCTATAATAAATCCCTAAAAAAAGAGGTATTTCGGCTTTTTAGAAGAACCCACAGCCTGTTTAAATTCAAGGTTTTTTTTGGTTTAAGTCATAATTATAAGTTATTGTGGAACATTTTAATTTTTAATTTTTTGAAATTTCCAAAATTTTCGAAAATTGTATTTTTGAAAGAGGAAAATTTTCATTCCAGATCGGCCACGAACCATCTCTTGCACCATGTGAGGTCACAATAAACGTTTGGTTCAGCCATTTAGATGATTTAACTTACCGCCTCCTGATTTGAAGATTGAAGACCAAGAGCTAACATTGCTTTGATGGCATCTTCTCTGGTTCCATCGTCCTTCGACTTGAGATTACTGGCAAAAGTTTTCCCCAGTTCTGATTTCATAAATTCAAGTCAAGTCACGTTTAAAAGAAAAGAAATAAAGATAGAAAACTTAATCTAGAATTCAAACGTAGCTTAAAAATAATTTCTAAGAGTTATGCACAGGAATAAACGATTATCAACAAGAACCGTCCAGGAACAAAAACGGCATTAATAAATTAATAAATAAGAATTAAAAAAATATTAAAGAAAAAGCAATAATAGAGGGGGTCAAAGAAAAGATAAAAAAAGAGATTATGACGAGGTTTGAAAAAAAAAATAAAACAAACTGCACAAGATGGACAACAGTAGACAAGAATACAAAAAAAGACGAGAATAAACAAGAAACAAGTAGACTAGACAAGATTATATCCCTGCAGCATACTAAGATAGATCAATAGACAATAATAGACAAGAATATATCCCTGCAGCATACTGAGATAGATCAATAGACAATAATAGACAAGAACAAACAAGAATATATCCCTACAGAATACTGAGATAGATCAATAGACAATAATAGACAAGAATAAAAGAATATATCCCTGCAGCATACTGAGATAGATCAATAGACAATAATAAACAAGAATATATCCCTACAGCATACTGAGATAGATCAATAGACAATAATAGACAAGAATAAACGAGAATATATCCCTACAGCATTCTGAGATATATCAATAGACAATAATAGAATATATCCCTGCAGCATACTGAGATAGATCAATATACAATCATAGACAAGAATAAACGAGAATATATCCCTACAGCACAGCATTCTGAGATAGATCATTAGAAAATAATAGACAATAATAGACAAGAATAAACAAGAATATATCCCTGCAGCATACTGAGATAGATCAATAGACAATAATAGACAAGAATAAACGAGAATATTTCCCTACAGCATACTGAGATAGATCAATAGACAATAATAGACAACAATAGACAAGAATATATCCCCGCAGCATACTGAGATAGATCAATAGACAATAATAGACAACAATAGACAAGAATATATCCCCGCAGCATACTGAGATACATCAATAGACAAAAATAGACAAGAATAGACTAGACTAGAATATATCCCTGCAGCATGCTGGGATAAACCAATAGACAAGAGACTAGACAAAAATAGACAAGAATAGACTAGACTAGACAAAATAGACAAGACTAGATTAGACAAGACTAGACAAGGAAAGAATATATCCATGCAGCATACTGAGATAGACCAATAGACAATCATAGACAAGACAATCTAATATATCACTGCAGCATGTTGACATAAATCGATAGACAATAATAGACTAGACTGGAATGTATATTTGCAGCATTCTGAGATAAATCAATAGACAAAAATAGACAAGAATAGACTAGACTAGAAAAAATAGAAAAGACTAGATTAGAAAAGAATTCTATGATAGATCAATGGACAATAATAGACAAGAATAAGCAAAATTAGACAAGAATATATCCCTGCAGCATACTGAGATAGATCAATAGAAACTGACTCCAGTATAGACGCTACACCAAGGAGTGCTATCTCAGGACTCCTCAGAAGATACTTGTTGAAGGCTGGGAGTAGATTGCTCTTAAACTCATCATGCGAGATACTCCTTGAAATATTAGAGGAAAAATTATGCTCAAGTGGATTGAATTCTTGTTGTGGGTTCATCAGCCCTAAGAAGCGTCATTATAAGGGTTGAAAGGTGTAATTTCGAGTGACCCTATAATTATAGAGCGGCAGGTGGGAGCTGAGTGCAAGAAAATTTGAAGTTTTTTTGTGTGTAAAACTCCCTTACTTAAATACTCAATTTATGAGTTTGCCGTTTGAGTAAATTTAGTTACTTTTTTATCAGATAATTAACTTGATAAGCGGTCTGGGTAAACTTAGTTATAAAATTAAAAGTTTACTTACTTAATGAGTAAAATTAGTTATTAATTTATCAGATTACTTACTTAATGAGTGGCTTAAGTAAGCCGAGTAAATCACTTCTAGGTTTACTCTTGCTCATCAACACGTTCTTGATCAAGATATCCAGAAGGAAACTGGACAACTAGAGGGAAAAGATTAAAAATAATATAGATAAATAAATTAATAAATTAATCATTCATTAGTTCAAATGAATTAATGAATTAATGAATGAATGAATTAATGAATAATAGATGAATGAATGAATGAATGAACGAATAAATAAATGAATGATATGATGAACGAACGAATGAAGGAGGAAGCTGGATAAGTAGTAGGAATAAATCGATATTTTAAATTATTAAATGAACAAATGAATGAAAAAAGATACTGGACAACTAAAAGGAAAATATTAATATTGATGAATAAATTTAAAATTAATCAATAATCATTAAATAAATGAATAGATGAATAGATAAATGAATGACTGACTACATGACTGACTACAAGACTACACGACTACAAGAAAATGAACGTATGAACCAACGTTTAATGAACCAGAGAACCAGTGAACCAATGAACCAATGAACCAATGAACCAATGAACCAATGAACCAATGAACCAATGAACCAATGGACCAATGGAACAATGAACCAATGGACCAATGGACCAATGGACCAATGAACCAATGGACAAATGGACCAATGGACCAATGGACCAATGAATAATTGAATAATTGAATCAACGAATCAACGAATCAACGAATCAACGAATCAACGAATCAACGAATCAACGAATCAACGAATCAATGAATCAATGAATCAATTTGAATCCGGGCTTAAAAATGATTGGGAGCAATGAGTGTAAGGTTTCCTGTCTGTAAGGCATCCAAGCCTCATTGCAGTTTATCAGAAGAATTCCTGCACTCTACTATTCTAAGGTTTAAGAATCCCTTAATTAGGCAGCTGGAATCTTGTCAACCTTCTCATTATGATTGAAGCGTGGATGGATGAATGTGCTGCCAGATTACAACAGCAGAGGCTCACGGCGTCCGGGGGTTCCCTCCCTCGTCACACATTTTTCACCCTACCCCACAAATAAATGAATAAATGAATAAATGAATAAATGAATAAACCTGTTTGTACTGTTCTCCTGCCGGCTCTATATCTCCTAGAAGTTGTGCTCCAAGAACAAGAACATGAAGGGATGGTTCACAACCCAGAATACCAGATACATAACTAAACAATTAATTAAAAATTGGATAGATAAATAAAAGTACAGGGTGGCCAAAATTTTTTTGAAAAAATCCGTACAAAAATCCGTACATTTTCAGAAAAAATCCGTACAATCCGTACAATTTTCGAAAAAAAAATCCGTACATTTTCGAAAAAAATCCGTACAATCCGTACAATTTTCGAAAAAAAATCCGTACAATCAGTACAATTTTCGAAGAAAACCAGAGAACCAGAGAACCAGAGAACCAGAGAACCAGAGAACCAGAGAACCAGAGAGCTAGAGAACTAGAGAACCAGAGAACCAGAGAACCAGAGAACTAGAGAACCAGAGAACCAGAGAACCAGAGAACCAGAGAACCAGAGAACTAGAGAACTAAAGAGCGTTGATTCTAATTGTCAAAACTGTTTAGATCAGTGTGAATTAGGCCATTTAACAAACAAACGATTAAGTTATAATTAGAAAGGAGTGGAGTGTAGATTTAGGATCTAATATAATTAAATTAGCGTGGTACAGGGGTTGCACCCTCAATTAAAAGAAAGTTAATATTAAACTAAAAATGAAAAGATTTACAGATAAACGGAATAAACAGATAGATAGACAGATAAATAGACAGAGAAACAGATAGACACATACACATATAGATAAACAGAGAGACAGATAGGATATATAAACAGATAGATAAAAAGATAGATAAACTGACATGCAGATAGATATACAGATGAATAGACAGATAGCTAAACAGATAGCTAGACATATAGCTAGACATATAACTAGACAGACAGCTAGACAGATAGCCAGACAGATAGCTAGACAGATAGCTAGACAGATAGCAATCAAAACAGATCTGGGACATATCTCGAAAATTATGAATGAATTTTGATTGTAATTTTGTAAGGAAAGCATATTTATCATATAAATTGCCAATAGAACCACCAGGAAAGCATATTTATCATATAAATTGCCAATAGAACCACCAGGAAAGAATCTTTATCATTTATGTATATGTATAATATATAATTGTTGAAGACAAAAATTGAAAGGGCATCTTTAAATTGTTAAATTTGGAAAGTTTTTTAATTCATCATTTAAGTCTTATTTCTAAAATTTGAGAAATTCATTTCTTCTCTAATGCACTTTTGAACAATTGTCTCTGATTTAAGACATAATACAACATGGTGGGACTTGGACTCATCAAATTTAGTGGAGAAAGAAAAGTAAATTTCTCATTGGTCAAACCTCCGAACTTAGAAGAAATTTACTTCAGCTTATCAGGTCAATAAGAGATTTGAATTCGGAGCTTTTGTGTTGTGAATCTAGGGATCCTTTGGTGGTCATACTCTGCATGGATAACTTTACAAATTAAAACTACTTACAAATAGGTAACGGAATAAAATATTATAAAAATCACAGAGTACAGCAGACTCCTATTGTGTTACAGGGGTATGCTACCCAAGATTACCTGTTCCTGATGTTCTCCACCTTCCACATTATCTTCATCAGCTTCGTCATCTTCTCCTTCTCCCTTCCCCCTCCAGCAGATAGTATTACAGAGACAAGGATAGATTGGAGTTCCAGGATTTTAACTCCATCAGTATCCAGTACTCCAGGACATCCTAGATATTAGACATGGATAGATTGGAGTTCAAGTATTTTAACTCTATCAGTATCCAGTACTCCAGTACACCCTAGATATTAGACATGGATAGATTGGAGTTCAAGTATTTTAATTCCATCATCAGGATGAAGCACTCCAGGATATTTAACCTCGTTGCAAGGACTTCAAACTATCCTACAACTTGGAGCATTTATAGCGCACCATTATTCAGTAAATATGGAATTAATTCTGTCACTGACTACATTTTGTGTCCAAAATACCATATACAACACAAAGAGAACAGTTCATTCGGCTACATTTAGTGTATACATACATTGCATAAAAACATCAAATAACGACATTTAGTGTACACACATGCAAGAGTTCATACAGTACATAAAAATAACTATAACTTAGTTTCATCAAAGATGACATTTGAAGTACACAAATGAGAGTTCATACAGTACATAAAAGTAACTCTACCTTAGTTTCATAAAAAACGACATTTAGAGTACACACACGGAGTTTATACAGTACAAAAAAGTAACTCTACTTAAGTTTCATCAAAGACGACATTTAGAGTTCACCCATGAGAGTTTTTAATGGTCATATAAAGTGACTCTACCATAGTTTCACAAATACGACATTTAGAGAATACACATGAGGGAAAATACAATACATAAAGTGACTACCTAAGTTTCATAAAAGACGACATTTAGAGTACACACATGAGAGTTCATACTGTACATATAAAGTGACTTTACCTGAGACAGCAGTCTGACTCCAAGCTAGTGCAGCTAGACAGTGTTTAGCTAGAGATCTTGTTGGACTAGTATTCTTCCACATAAGAACATTCTCGAGCAGAGCAGTGTTGATAGTCTTCGCCACAACCTCGGGATGTTTGAGAACAGCTTCCTTGATGAAGAGAATAGGAAGAGAACGGGATTTAGCATCTGTATACCGTAGAAGGGTTACAGGAAGCACCTAAACAAGAAACAGTCGATTCTTAATCTATCTAGATTTGAAGATTTTTAGTATTTATTTCGTCTAGAAGATATCGAGTAAGAATGGGGAGGGGAGTAAGGGAGTTGGGAAGAAAAGAACTAAGAAGAATAAACAAATAATTAAAAGAGATGTTGAAAGAAGAAAATAATACGGAAAAGAGCAAAAGTGAAAGGAGGGGAAAAGGACTTGAAGGAACTGTAAGAGTAATTTCAATGATTCACAAAGGTACTCTTAAAAGCTTTGTATGATCAAATATAAAGAAGACATTAGTGTTAATAATTTCGAAAAATGATTATTTTCAGCTGTGATTTCTCAACAAAATTGATTTGCCTATTTCTCTCTTCTACAGAAAAACATAGGAAATATTAGAAATGAAAAGACCTATAAAAACAACCATATCTTCCACATAATTGATGTGATAAAGTGTATCACTATAAACCGGCCAATGTAATCTTTGTATAGAGGATCACCTGAAATTTCGCTTACAGTCCCTTTCAGGAGGAATAAGTTTTATAATTATTAAGACCTTGCAAACTCCCTTGACAATATTCTCCTGTAGTCCCTCCTCAATCAGTTCTCCTAGATCCTTGAAGATCTCCTTCCTGGTTGTTAACTCCTGGGTCTGCAACCTGGAGGGCAGGTCCTTCAGACACTTCGCCACCTAGATACAGGGAATTTACTTTTATTTTTGCAGTGGAACTCAGAAACCTTAAACAACATTTAGGCATCTGATATTGCTCTTTAGCATATAATCCTGACAGATTTGTAGATTTCTACAACATTAGACAAGTTGGAAAATATACAAAATTTGAATTTTGTGAACAAAAAAATGTATACCAATTTTTCTAGAATATAGTTGAATGGTTAAAATATCATTCGTTGATGGTATTATTTATATTAAAGGGTCACTAAAAATTAGATTAAAAATCATGAAAAACTAATTAAAAGTAACACCTTCACGTCCATGTTCACTGTTCAGTTGCCTTGTTTAATCTGAAAAAATAGAATTTTTAAATCTTAAATAATTTCTATTAAATTTTTGTTGTTGTTGATAATTTGAAAAATCTTAATGGGAGGACAATTACCTAATTTAAGCAAATCAGGTGGAAGAGCAATTGATTTTTCACTTCGATTCAAACTTTGGTCTATTCGGATCTGAAAGATTAGAATTTAAAATCTAAATAAAATTGATTTCTTCATCTTTTTTTAAAATAAAACTTTTTTGTTTTACTGTTTTAAAGTAAAAATGAATACTGGACTGTAATGCATTATGATGTATTGCAAAACTATACAAAGTACTGAGCTATATCACATTGTAACAAATCGGAACTTCTTCTTTTTTCTGTTTTAACGTGCAAAATATGGTTTCCCATTACATCCCAATTTTTAACATAAAATTTGGCAAAAAAAACATGTACAACATGATTGTACACTGTGCATGATATGTAACAACATGACTGATTACATGAACATATTGTCCCAATCTGGTGGACGCATTGCGTCCCCATAGTTTCTTCGTCCTCCTCCTCCTCCCAGACGTCCACCTCCCAACGGACCTCCTAACGGACCTCCTCCCAATGGGTCTCCTCCTAGGGGCCCGGTTGGACCTACAGGGTCCCACCTTTACAAGAAAACTTTATTGAAAACAAGTGGTTTTTCATTATTAATTTGTGTGATAGAGAAAAAAAGGAAAAAGTGGCATTTTGTTATTTTATTGCGTGATTAGATTAATAAAAAAAAATGAGATTATTTTTTAACCTTGGATTCATGGGTCGTCCTCCATGCATTGGATCCATTAGCATTCCTCCTCCATGCATTCCACCTTCATCATTATAATATTATTATTATTATTATCATCCTATTATTATTATTATTATTATTATTATTATTATTATTATTATTATCATTATTATCATTATTATTATTATAAAATTGTCTTAAATTAACCTAACACTCGAATAATATAAATAATCTCGCGAAGTCGCATACAAATTTGAAGAGGGACTGTTCTAGGATAGATCCAACATTTAATTTTTGGAGGATTTTAATAGATTTGGGATCAGAATTACCTAATGGATCTAAATCCGAGCCTCCGATTCTTGGAGGCCCAACACCATCCCAGCCAGGGGGTCCTTCATCTAGCCTCGGCCGTCGGCCGGATCTCAAGGGATCATAAGACGGTCCAGCCCTGAGAGGATCAACCTCCGGATTCTGAGGTTGAGTTTTATCATTAGTACCTCCGCTACTACCCTAAATATAAGCAAGCTAATTAAGAAAAAGAAAAAGGACAGGGTATCGTCTTGAAATCCCCCAATCATGTATTCTAGAAATGTTAAGGTTTTTAGTTTTCGCTGAAATGGGGGAAGACGTTTTTTAGTGAATATATATTAGACTGCTACCTGTTTTGTTTTGAAAATCTGAAGAAGATCTTCTATTTTTGTCCTCAACCCGTCCTTGTCCTTGAAACCAGCTTCATAGGAGGACACGTCCTCGTTTATATAGTTCTTAATCAAGTAAAAGTTTAAGTCGAAATTTCATATTTACAGTACACAGTGAACTTAATTCAGTGCAGTACGCTCTAAGCTTTAAGGCGATTCAACCTGAGCCCGAAATTAAAAAAAGTATCATTGAACGTTTCCTTTTTGAGGTCTTAACATTTGGGTAGATTTTACCTTGAGAGATTCAAAAAAAATTTTGAATATGAAGAAACTAAATATGATAATAGTTCATAACAAAAATATGGATATCCACAAAACTGCCTAACCCCATTCCTGAAACTCGGGTTCCAAAACTGGTTTTCATTATCGTTTTAATTTCTTAAGTTGTGGGCTCAGAGACCAAAACTTAAGACAGGGTATCGTTCAGAAAACCAGTGTTAAACCCAGGGTTTCACGAATGGGGTTAGGCAGTTTTGTGAATATCAATATTTTTGTAAAGTAATATAATTTTATTCAGTTTGTTTATATTCTCCATTTTTTTTAATCTCTTAAATCAAAATCTACACAAATGTTAAGACCCAAAAAAGGAAACTCGGGCGTTTCGTTCAACGATACTCTTTTAAATTTCAGGCTCAGTGAAGTAGTGTACACTGTGACCTTTGTATTTGTACTGTACACAACCACTATCCCCCCACCTTGTACATTCTCTCATTGTATTTACTTTAAGTACCAACTGTAAGTGTTAGCTTTTTACTGTACTGTACTGTACTGTACTGTACTGTACTGTACTGTACTGTACCGTACTGTACTGTACTGTACTGTACTGTACTGTACTGTACTGTACTGTACTGTACTGTACTGTACTGTACTGTACTGTACTGTACTGTACTGTACTGTACCGTACTGTACCGTACTGTACTGTACTACCTGTAAGTGTACAGTAGTGTCTGTATTCTTGTTATCCTGTATTCTCAGTAAACTGCACAGGGCGGATTCACCAACCATCACAACCTAGGAGAGTAAATCTAATATTTTTAGAAAGAAAAAAGAAAAATATAACCAGGGGGGTCGAACATTGTGTTCTAAATCCATGAAGTATGAGTTTATGAGAATGAAATCTGCAAGAAGCCCCATGTTGAGCAACCCAGACCGCCTACAGTAGTAACTGACCCTACAGGTGAGAATAGTACTGATCCAGCCCGTTCTCCATTCCCTTGGAGGGGTACAACTTAGAGGAAAGGCGTGATCAGAGTCACGATGCGTACCCTGCAACAAAGGTTCCACTATTCGACCCGTCAACCTGGGGTTACGGTCAACTCAGGTTCCCGGAAACCCTTCACCCGGGTTCGCTTGCATCCAGGAATAAAAGAACAAAACTTGGGCGGAATTACCAGACAACCCCGGGCGTGTATAATGCGTATCACGAGGGAAAGTACTGATAGGTGAATTCGACTGGGGGCCAGAGCACCTCCAGCAATTCACTTTAACTAATTAATTAATTCAGATGAGCTAAAAAATACACTAGGCCAATAATTGATCGCAGAAATACGAGTTATTTGTTATTTACATAATAAGTACTTGAGTTACCGTGAGTGTTTATTTACTACCATCTGTATATGGTTACCTTGAGTGTATATTTATTACCATCTGTATATGGTTACCTAGAGTGTATATTGACTACAATCTGTCCCGATAGTTACCTTAAGTGTATATATATATTGACTACCATCTGTATCCTGATTGTTACCTTTAGTGTATAGTGACTATCATCTGTATCCTGGTAGTTAAGCTGGTAAACGGAAGTATCTGAGTTCCATGAGGCAGGAAGTAATTCACTTCCTGTCCCATCTTTCCTGTCTCCACTTCCTGTACATCTCCATCCTTCTCTAGAAAAATAAAAATACTATTAATTAATAATTAAGAAATTTAGATCTTTAAAAATATTTACAGAATCTATTTATACAAATATGCCTTTTGTAAAAACAAGATTACAAAATAACCCTAGTCCTGGCATTTCCGAAGTGTAGTCTGCGTTTTTAAAGGCTTTCAAAATTACAAGAAATGAGAGGAATTTCGTTTATGTTTCAACTTATTATCCACCTATATCCAAATATCATTAATCTTCCAAAAAAAAAAAACAATGTAAGAAACAGTTTAATTGAGGAAAGTGTTATGTTTACATATATTTTTATCAAACAGTTTATCCTGTATTATGTTTACATATATTTTTATCAAACAGTTTAACCTGTATTATGTTTACATATATTTTCATCAAACAGATTATCCTGTATTATGTTTACATTTATTTTTATTAAACAGATTATCCTGTATTATGTTTACATATATTTTCATCAAACAGATTATCCTGTATTATGTTTACATATTATTAAACAGATTATCCTGTATTATGTTTACATATATTTTCATCAAACAGTTTATCCTGTAATATGTTTACATATATTTTTATTTAACAGTTTATCCTGCATTATGTTTACATTTATTTTTATCAAACAGTTTATCCTATTTTATGTTTACATGTATTTTTATCAAACAGATTATCCTGTATTATGTTTACATATATTTTTATTAAACAGATTATCCTGTATTATGTTTACATATACTTTTATCAAACAGATTATCCCGTATTATGTTTACATTTATCTTTATTAAACAGTTTATCCTGTATTATGTTTGCATATATTTTCATCAAACAGTTTATCCCGTATTATGTTTACATATATTTTTATTAAACAGTTTATCCCGTATTATGTTTACACATATTTTTATTAAACAGTTTATCCTGCATTATGTTTACATATATTTTTATTAAACAGTTTATCCCGTATTATGTTTACACATATTTTTATTAAACAGTTTATCCTGTAATATGTTTACATATATTTTTATTTAACAGTTTATCCTGTATTATGTTTACATATATTTTTATTAAACAGTTTATCCCGCAATATGTTTACATATATTTTTATTGAACAGTTTATCCTGCATTATGTTTACATATATTTTTATCAAACAATTTATCCTGTATTATGTTTGCATATATTTTTATCAAACAGTTTATCCTGTATTATGTTTACATATACTTTTATCAAACAGTTTATCCCGTATTATGTTTACATATACTTTTATCAAACAGTTTATCCCATATTATGTTTACATATTTTCTTCTTAAACAGTTTATCCTGTATTATGTTTACATGTATTTTTATAAAACAGATTATCCTGCATTATGTTTACATATATTTTTATTAAACAGTTTATCCTGTTTTATGTTTACATATATTTTTATTAAACAGTCTATAGTTTATGATTTAGTAGTCATCCCAGTCTGGGAGACCAATTTCGCAAATAGGGATAGAAAATACCCCTTTCTAATCCCCCCCCCCACTTACTCCAAAAATATCCCTTTCCATTCCTCACCCCCCTTCTTCTTTCCCTTGTTATACCTTGTGAGTGTCCAGTGTATGAAGACGACAAGAACATCATTCCTAGACTTCAAATCCTTCACCATACTACTATACAGGGTCTCCAGGCCATACCAGCTCATCTAGATACCATAGATAAATAGATAGATAGATAGATAGATTTATATATAAATAGATAGAGAGGTAGATTGTAACTGTGACACAGACTATATATATAAAATACCTTGTATCCTGATGGAACTAGTGGCAGATCTATGGATACTTCTTAAACTAAGACATTTATTTTATCTGAAATTTAAACTTGTAATTTTGCATAGAAAAATATAAAAATTTAGATAAATGGAATTAAATATATATGAAATTTATACTTAAAATCAAGCTGAGTTCTTGTTATAATATATAATATTTGGTATTAAACAATTTAAAAAGTTAACAAAAGAAACTAATTTGTTTGGATTTCTAAAATTTATAATTTCACTGATTTTTGAACTTACTTCCTGACAAAATATCTATTTTAAGGAGACAACAAGATAATTTTACAAATTTGACAAATCTTTACAAAAATATAATACTGAACTGTGAGCAGTTATTATCACTACTTTTTATTATATATTTCAAAAATATATCTTTAAACTTCTCTGTTTGCAGTACTGTATATTTATACCAGGCACTTGAGGGAAAAAATTTCAAAATAATTTTTTCATTTCAAAAATTAAAATGCAATATTGAAATAATCATTCCACCCCCAACAAAAGTTCTCTTTAGGCCCAATGTAATGTGTGATGCAATTTTTGTACCCTTTTCTCAGAACTAAATGATTTTGGAGGCGATGTAAATGATTCTAGAAAAGTATTAAAATTACAAGATTTCAGTTAATTTAACATTTATAATTATTCTTTAAGGCAGCAGGGGTACGGGGATATATATGCTTGTGAGAGCCATTCTTGTCCTTTTTTGTCCTCAGTCTTGTCCTTGTTTTATTGTTGTCCTCTTTATTGTCCCTTCCCTGATGGTAAGAACACTAGAGGTCTATAAAGTGGATTCCACATTTTGGACCGAATATAATCTTTCAGTCCCTCCTCTCCACCCTCCTACGAAAAGTTAAATGTTATTAAAAAAACATAATTTTTTTTTTAAAAATGATTGAACGAATTTGAAGAGAAAAAATTGAGAATTCCACAACTTTTTAAAGGAATTTAAACAAGACATAGTCACAAGAAATCAGGCAGCAATGCCAAATTGTACATTGATATTTCAGACTGGATTAACTTTGAAGTGTCGTAACGTCTTGGCCTTCGGGTTTACTTAACCAACTATAATATTTTTTAACACTAATATTTTGGTTTTTAGAGCTTTGAAGTTTATGAGCAGAATTTTTCTTTTTATCGAGAAATTTCAAGCTTCTTTATGTTCTATTTAAAAGACGTTTTTTTAGAAAAACCTAGTCAAGTCAAATCAAAGTTTAGGCCCTACATCCACACTCAAATGCCAAACTTTAGTATGTCTAGACTATGAAAAATTCCTGTTTAAACTTCATGAAGGATATGATAGGATATGCAGGACGCAGGTGGAAAAAGTTCTGGTATAAACGTAGGAGGATCAACACGAAGGATTGGAAAATGAAGTGTCTGAAATTTTGGAACCAGAAAATAAATTTTAAAATCCAAAGTAAAAACGTATTTTCCACATCATCATCCTTGTCCTCCACGACTTCAACATCATCTCTGAACTGTTCATGAAGCTATGTTATCGAAGAATCCAGAGTGTTGGTATAATCATAATAGTAATATTAGCTTAAAGATCGTCCGGTTCACCTAGGAGACCAACTGACATCAAATAATACTATTTTTGATGAAAAAATATGATTTTAGTCAAATAGATAATATAACTAACCGTGTATTCCAGGTATGCAACTTTGTTCCCTAGTTTAACACCGTCCTTCAGGGCTTGTTGGATAACACGGCAGGCAAGGTGGCAGGAGGTCTAGGAATATGTCCCAAATATGAGATGTCCTATTTACAAGATGTTCCATATATAATATGTCCTATTTACAAGATGTCCCAAATATAATATGTCCCATTTATAAGATAACCCATGTATTATATGTCTCATTGTTAAGACTATTAATTGTCCTATTTACAAGATGTTCCATATATCATATGTCCCGTTGTTTAGACAATTTGTTGTCCCATTTATAAATGTTACATATATAATATGTCCAATCTCTTAGACTATTAACTGTCCCATTTACAAGATGTTCAATATATTATATGTCCCGTTGTTTAGACTATTAAATGTCCCATTTATAAGATGTTACAAATATTTTAAATATCATTGTTTAGACTATTAAATGTCCCATTTATAAGATGTTACAAATATTTTAAGTATCATTATTTAGACTATAAATTATCCCATTTATAAGATGTTACATATATTATATGTCCAATCTCTATAACTATTAATTATCCCATTTAAAAGATATTACATATATTATATGTCCAATATTTATAACTATTAATTGTCCCATTTATAAGATGTTACATATATTATATGTCCAATCTTTATAACTATTTATTATCCCATTTATAAGATGTTACATAAATCATATGTCCAATCTTTATAACTATTAATTGTCCCATTTATAAGATGTTACATATATAATAAGTCTCATTGTTTAGACTATTAATTATCCCATTTAAAAGATATTACATATATTATATGTCCAATCTTTTAGACTATTAATAGTCCCATTTATAAGAAAGCCCATGTATTATATGTCCCATCTTTTAGTCTATTTGTTGTTACATCCCATCTACAAACACGCCTATGACATGTCTTAGTTATAAATTGTCACAGCTAATATCCCATCTTCCAATATTAAATTACTAAATGCCAGTAAAGCAAACATTTTTTTGTGAATGGCCAATAACTTCAAATACTATTCAGGGAAACATCGAAGAGAAAAAAGTGCCAAATGATTAACGATTATTTAATGCTTGATTTTCATCCTTTTTCTCAAACAAACAATTTAAAACCTGCGTCGGATTGAATAAAAAACTTTCTTTTCAAAATATTAATGAAGTAAACATCTGTCAGCTGTTTTTAACGATTTGGATTGTCCCACCTCTCTAATATCGTATTTACCCTCCTCTCTAATATCGTATTTACCCACCTCTCTAATATCGTATTTACNCAGAGACTCAGCAGCTCTAGATAAATAGATTAAAGAAGCAGCTCAACCAGAGACTCTGCAGCTCTAGACAAATAGTTTAAACAACCAGAGACTCAGCAGCTCTTGACAATAAGTTTATAAAAATTGTTTATACATGACAGCATGATGACATGACCATATGACAGCATGATGACATGACCATATGACGACATGTAACATGATGACACATGATGACATGACCACATGACGATATGTAACATGATGACATAATCACATGACGATATGTAACATGATGACATCACCACATGATCACATGACCACAGGATCACTCGTCCACAGGACCATTTAACCACATGACCACATGACCACATGACCACATGACCACATGACCACATGATCGACCACATGATGAACATAATGACATGACCTCATGACAACATGATCACATGACCAAATGATCACAAGACTACATGACTTTATGATCACATTATTAGACGACTACATGACCACATAATCTAATCCTTTATATTGCTAACCTGTTGATCATTGAGTTTGAAACAGTTCCCGTTTGTCCGAGAGCAGCTCCTAGTGCTAACCCAGGGAATATAAACCTAGAAATATATTCTTGTCATTGTACTAGATTGGGAACCCAGCGCTGCTAAGGTTACTAATAGTTAATCCCGGCGTTTGTCCGCACTCAACGATTTAACCGAGGAACTAAATTTTCGCTATAGAAGTCGACCCACTCATCATAGAATCTCAAAACCAGACTAAGAACATTCCCGTGGGTCTCCCGAGTTCCTCATCAAAATTTGAGGCAAATCGGTCCTTCCATTGCACCTTAAATTAACAGTATTTTCAACGGCTTTTATGATAAAAAAACCTTTGTTCTAAATTGCTCTGGAAATGGCCATGTAACTACAATTTCTAAATGATACATTTATGGTCTTAAACATTTATTTTCAAGGAATAGGATTTTATGGAAAAAGATGAAAAAATAATTTTTTGTTAATTGTAATTAATTTTCCTCTGTGAAATAATTATGTTTTACAAAATATGAGGGAAAGATAGATATACCTGTTGTTACACTGAGAGCTGGAGATGAGTTTACGGTTGTAAACAACATCAGGGAACGGAGATCCACTCGCAAATATTGCCCGACCTACAAATAGAGTTTAAGGGACATCCAAGGTGTAAGGAATAGAAGGGAGATATAACTGATGCGGTTCGCCCTACCATATGATTATACATGCTTTGCAGACGATATTCCATTTGTATAAGAAATATTCAGAATAGGTTATTGTATATGCATAAGACAAATAGTTCTTATATGGTAGGGCGGGCCACGTCAGTTATATCTCCCTTCTATTCCTTACTCCCTGGGGACATCCTACTAACCACATATCCACCTCAAGTAAATCTACTAAATTAAGGACGATTTGTGGGCTTACAGCTAGTGTTAGACCTTATAATGTTTAATCCATTCAACATTTCTTTCATTTATCCATTAATTCATTTAATCATTTTTTCATTCATTCATCCCTTCATTCATATATTCATCCTTTCATTCATTCATTCATTCATTCATTCATTCATTCATTCATTCATTCATTCATTCATTCATTCATTTTACATATACATTTATTACTTCATTCATTCATTCATTTTATATACACATTTATTACTTCCTTCATTCATTCAATCATTTAATATATGCTTTCATTACTGCATTATTTTATTCATTTATTCTTTATTTCTTTGTTTCCTTTATACATCAATTCAATTATTAATAATTCAGTTAATTATTTCATACATTTATTCATTAGAGCATTACTTCACTACTCTATTCAATCAACCATTATTCATAAATTAATTCATGATTGATCTTTAATTATTCATTTACTCATTCATCATCTAATATATTGATTGATTGATTAATTAGTTCATTCTTTCATTCATCTTTTCATTCTTCCGTTATTTTATTTTTTAATTTGAGCATTGCATCTTCATGATACTTCTATCCCATAAAATCGTTTTAATTTGGACATTGCATCTTCATGATACTTCTATCCCATGAAATCGTTTTAATTTGGACAGTGCATCTTCATGATACTTCAATCCCATAAAATCGGTTTAATTTCCTGACAAAAATAATTTATTTTGCTCTTGGATAAAATTTCCGTAATAAAATCTTGCACAATTGTCCATGAAGAAATAATCAATTCAATGGATTATACAGCAGGACCTATAAAACTGAGGAATAAGAGAAAACTGTTCAAAGTCGAGTGTTAATGACATGTAATACAGCAAATGTGAAGTGTACACAGACCAATTTCACTTAATAAATTGGTTAAAGGCAAAACAATTTGCTTCGAAATAACATGTAACACACATAAAATTGCTGAAATGTCGTCTTCTTATTCTTCAGTTTTATGGGTCCATCTGTACTACTTGTAGGTTTTTATCACCATTTGTTGCTCGTTGAGCTTCCTCTGCAGTACACTCAGACCTAGATAATAAAAAATTAAAGTTTTATCATCATCTTATCACAGTTTTCACCCAAAAATACATTTATTTACCCCTAAAAATCAATTCATTTCTCAGCAAATCTTAAAAATAAGATTTTTAAAAGGGGTAAAATTGTTAACTAGGGTAATAATGAAAATATTTACTGAGCTTGGAACTGTTGTGTTGTGGATATCGAGATCAATGTTTGATCTCGTCCTTTTGTTAATCTGCAGATTAATTTAATCTTTATTCGATATCCCGCATGGTAATAATACCCAGTCCTGGGTTGACGGGAGATTTGTTTAGGGGAGGAATAACTAAGATAAAGACATCCTTTAAATTATAATAAGTGCCCACAGAAGATATCGAAGTCAACCGAGCAGGATTAGGAATGGTTTACCTGGAGGTAGGGTTTGAGAGTGGGAAAATTATCGGAGAATATTCGCAATTATCATTCATCGTTCTCAGTATCTCCTCAGTAAATATACCACGGGTAGCCGTCAAACCTAGATCAATCAATCAATCAATCAATCAATCAATCAATCAATCTAATACCAAATCAGTTCATCAATCAATGAATACATCCGTCAATCAATCATAATGTAATCTTTTTAATATTCTCTGAGTAAATATACTACGGGTAGCTGTCAATCCTAGATCAATCAATCTAATACCAAATCAGTGCATCAATCAATCAATACATCCGTCAATCAATCATAATGTAATCTTCTTAATATTCTCTTAGTAAATATACTACGGGTAGCTGTCAATCCTAGATCAATCAATCAATCAAGACATCCGTCAATCAATCATAATGTAATCTTCTTAATATTTTCTTAGTAAATATACTACGGGTAGCTGTCAAACCTAGATCAATCAATCAATCTAATACCAAATCAGTACATCAATCAATCAATACATCCGTCAATCAATCATAATGTAATCTTCTTAATATTTTCATAGTAAATATTCTACGGGTAGCTGTCAATCCTAGATCAATCAATCAATCAATAAATCTAATGATCAGATTTTGGTTTTAGGAGTAAAGAAATTTTTTTTCAGTTTTTGGTTGAAATTTTACCCCTTGGATCCGGATCCGTGGATCCGCATATTTTTGCGGATCCGGATCCAGGAAGCCAAAATCTTGCGGATCCAACGGATCGGGATCCTAAGCATGGCAGTTTTATCACAACAATTCATTTTCGCCCTTCAGGAAATGTGAAGTTTTGGACTGGAACATATACATGATATCAAGGGAAGTTTGGAGGGGTGGGGGGAGGGGGGATTATAAACAAGATATAAACACATGGTCTATTTTATTTACTGCCTGCATTTACCTATAAGAATATCTGGTTTAACTCTCTCCACGAGCTTGAGTAGATCAATCCCTTCCATCTCCGTCTCATCTCTGATTTACAGTTTAACGTCAAATAGGTTTGGACAAAGCTAGGAGTTAAACTTTCTGAAAATTTCCTTCTTTAAGTTCACCCCCTAAAAAGGTTAATTTTATAAAAAGCACTCAGTTTTTTGTTAAAAGGGAAAACATAATTAAGCAGCTCTTAAAGGGACTGTAAGTGTAATTTCAAGTGACCCTCAATTGAAAAATGCCATTGCCCGACTTACAACTGTACCCTTTTAAAAGCTTTGTTTTTCTTTAATTTAACTGTTTAATATTAATATTCGATAAAAAAGTCAAATTTCAGGATCTGAATTCCCTCTCAATGCACTTATCTATATCTATATATAAATTTGTAATCTCTGTTTGTCTGTTTGTTTGTTTGTCCGATCATAAACCAGGAACCCAGGAACCAATTTACCTCAATTTTAAAATGAGGGAACTCGGGGAGAGCCACGGGAATGTTCTAAGCTTTTTAGTTTCTAGTTTGAGATTCTAAGTTTTTTCCGGGAAATAGTTAAAATCGTGATTTACGACAAAGTGGGATTAACTATGACCCCCCCCCCCCCTGTACAACGCTGGGTTACTATAACATAAACTCTATTCCTAGCGAATGAAGATATATCATGAAAGGTTTGATCCAGTAATTCTAATCCAGGACGACCTTTTGTTATCAATCCATCCTAAAAATTTTAGACTTTGTGTATATATCTTTTTATTTTGACGAGAAATGGTGATTTAAGAAGAATTGAGAAGCAGATTTAAAAAACTAATAAAGATTTTCAACAATTTGTATACCCCGAATATTATACTTTGGACAAAAATTCAAATATCACCCAAATAATTTACAAGTTTAACAGTAGTCTTTATATTTCACAGTTTTATGGGTCTCACTGTAACTAGAAGGAAATCATGTGACCAGTTTACTGTACTGTCATTGGCTGAAGTTCTGGTGACGTAATATGGACTATACAGACGGACTATACGGATTATATGTAATAATATTATCAATTATTTATATCTATTCAAAATGCAAAATAAAAATTAGAATAGGGGCAAACCTAAGATTCTCAGGCTCCTGTGGGATATAATCGTTTTCAAATTGGTTGCGTATTTGCTGAATATGATCTGTTTAACTACTACTTTTATACAAAATTGTATATATATTAATTTTCCGAGGTTTACCGCAAAAAAATAAGCACATAAATCCTTGTATTTGCAACTGTGCAACATGTTCAGTCCCCAAAATCCATATGCACAATCAAATATGATGTGGGACACCTTGTATAAAGAAATGTAATAATCAATTCAGTGTTCTAACTAAATATCAATAAGAAGATAAAATCTAATAAAAAATCTTTAAATCATTCCAATTTTACAAAAGAAAATACAAAATACTTTACAGGTTTACCACAAAAATTGAGCACACTAATGAATAATCTCTTTAGGATTTCCGACTCTTAAAACTTAAATCCCACTTATTGGAAACACACTGTACAGTGCACACCCCTGGAAATAAATGCTACCTAAGTTTGGAACAGACCCCACTGGCCGCTGAACCAGCCCCAGCAACAATAATTCGTTTCTTTCGTAGATCTTCAGCAGGTAGCCCTTGTACTTTCAGCGCTCCATATACACCTGTACAGAACAGCACAGTACAGTACAACATATGTACATTATATCTAAGATCTTCAGCACGTAGCCTTTGTACTTTCAGGGCCCCATGTACACCTGTACAAAGTACAGTACAGTACAGTACAGTACAGTACAATACATGTACATTTATATCTAAGGTCTTCAGCACGTTGCCCTTGTACTTTCAGGGCTACATATACACCTGTTACTAGTTCAGTACAGTAACATATATGTACATGTACAGTACAGGATATCTGGAGTTCATTAATTAGTATTTCTGCTCAAAATTATACACCCAAAAAATTACCCCTGACAACATTTATACAATTCTTTTAAAATCCAATAGTATCAATGAACACTGAACAGCCTTGTCTACATTGTAAAATGTACACAAATGTTGAAATAAATACTCGATTGACTAAAATCTAATAAAAATATCTTCCTAAAATCTGTTGTACCTTTTAGTTTGTTTTAGGGAGTTAACATAATAAATCTTGTTTTCGTGTAAAAGATTTGAAAGATAAGTTCACTGTTCTTTTTGTGACATATCTTTTATTTGCGAGTAGATTCTTTTATTTTTTTTTCGGTCTTTTCTCTTATCAAATCATGCTTTTAGGGAGGTCCTACTATCCACGATTCAACTCTAGATGACTTCACTTAATGAAGAATGAAGCAAGGCCTTATAGCTTGTAAGCTGTATGACTATCCCGCTTTTTGAATTACTTAAAACATTGTTAAATTTACCAATTTTAAAGTATTACTTTTGTCACTTTACCTGCAAGAACAGTGGCAGCAGTTCCTTGAATGTCGTCGTTAAACATTAAATATTCCTCTCTGTATCTCTCCAGCAGGTTTATAGCATGCTTAGACTGGAAATCTTCAAACTGAATCAGAGCCTTCGGCCACCTAAGATGGAAACTTATAGTGTATAAACACAAATGGAAATTTATAAATTAGACTAAATTTGAGCTACGTCGCTGAACTACTTAGTGACGGTTTAAAATTGAATCACCTATTCAAAGTTAAAGGGAGTGACCAGCTATAAAAGATCTATAATTAATAAGTTTCAGCACAAAGTCTACGTTCAAAATCGTCTTTTTGGGCTGGATACGTTTTGAGAATTAGTTTTTTTTTAACAATTAAACAACGACGACAAAAAATATAGTAAAAGTTCTTTAGTAAACTAATTGGATGTTCAGGAACATATTTCTCAAAAGAAATTTATCAATAAATTAATGTTAGAACCAATTATTTCGTTTTCATCATTTTATTGAATTTCTCATTTTTTATAAATTTGTTCGCAGATTTCTTCAAATTCTTCAAATGTCGTCTTTTCAATAAAATCTACAGAAAATCTGCAGCAAATCTTCGTGAATAATGAGAGATCACAGAATCTAATAATTGAATAAAATTACATAATTTTCCAGGATAGGAGTTAATTTTTATTTTCCCAACCTGTTCCTAACATCTAATAAGTTTATTATAGAATTTTTGTTATATTTTTTGACGTCGTTATTCTCAAAACGTGTCCACCCAAATTGATAATTTTGAACGTCGGCTTTACCCTCAAACTCAGTAATTACAGAATACAGACTTTTAAAACGTTTTATATGTTTCAAATGAATCCGAACAAATTTCTGTACAATGCTGCAATCTCAGTTCAACCATCATACATTGCCGGTATAAAAGATGTAAATTTATAAATTAGACCAAAAGCAGATTAACTAATTAATGATGGTTTAACCACTTTTTTGGTAAGAAATTTTCAAAATCTAGTCAGGGTTTATATTTCCCTGAAAAATCCCCATTCCCCATCTTCTCTTTTGAACATCATTTTTTCCCCCAGAAGAAAGATGGATTTTTTGACTGAGTATCTTAAAGAACATTTTACATCTGAATAAGGGAGTTTTTCAAAACATTTGAAAGTACGTTTCTATATGAAGAGCTGAAAAATGTCAATAAAACATTACTTTGCAAATATGCGAATTGCAAAAAAATTCGCACTAGGAAAAAGTGCTGACATATCGCAAAATGTTCGTCTTGATGAGCTCATTCAGAATCTCAAAAAAAGTTAAATGGGATTTTTCTTATCTCCTAGAAGTCCTTTTAAACACCTTGTGTAGATATATAATGTAGAAATCTCTGTTTCATTGTTTGTATCTCCGATCATAACTCAGGAACCCATTAACCGATCTGACATAGATTTTGACTGAGGAACTCGTATAACCACGGGGATGTTCTTCGCTTGGTGTTAATATTGTTACAAGGGTTCCCTGGTTAGTATTTTCTCTAAAAAGGGAAATAAAGGATTTTAAAGAGAAAACAAAGGATTTTAAAGGGGAAATAAAGGATTTTAAAGGGAAAATAAAGGAATTATCCAGTAAAAATTGTGATCTATTTGTTTGTTTGTTTGTCCGATCATAACTCAGGAACCCATGGGCCGATTTGCCTAAAATTTTGATTGGAGAACTCGGGAGAATTGCGGGAATGTTCTTAGCCTGGCTTTAAAATTCTAAAATGAGTAGGTCCACTTTTAACAGGAAAAATAGCTAAATTCGTAAATAACGACAAAGACGGGTAAACTGACTCCCCTGGGCAACGCTGGGTTCCCAAGATAGTATTTTATAATTTTTACAATTTATATAAATAATGATATTTTCTTCATAATTTTGACCTGAGTTTGACAGCTGCCATGAATTCATCAATTAGTTCATAATATTCTTCTCCATCCATCCTTGCCTGTTTTAGGCCCAGATACGCAGGATCCTGCAGTACAGTACAGTACATCGTTAACCGTAATTGTAACCCAACAGTACAGTACGTAACAGAGATTAATTCTGTACAGTAAAGCACAGCAGTCCATTATGTACATTATATAAAATCTGATCATTTATATTTGTTTTATTTTAATAATTCTAAAAATATTGTAAAATTTGGAAAATATTTTTAGATTGTTTTACCTTCAACAAATCTGGATTGTTTGTTCCAGTATCTGAACATCAAATCAATCAATTAATAACATTATAAAGACAATGTATTTAAAAAACTAAACATAAGTAGATTAAAGATACCGAAGAGTTTACAGCACTAAACCAAAAAAGCAATAAAATGAATTCTTTTTTAAACGGGGGTTTTTCAACCCAAAGAAAGTGAACTCAAAACATGTTTGAATATTTGATTTATCGATTAATCGATTGATTGATTGATCCCTATGACCGCTGGAAGGATTCTACGTGGATGAAATCCCCCGGCTGCAACATACAGATCCAACTTCCCTAAAAGACAAAAAAGTATAAAAAAATTGACTTGTTTTTTTTTCCTATTGGTTACTTTTTACAGTTTAAAATCAGTTAAATGTCAGCAAAACATTTTATTTTAAACATCGGTTAAATATCTAGTGTATATCCGATATCTCTGCTGCCCCCCCCCCACCCGTAAAAAAACGATTTTTCAAGAAAAAATGATTATACCAGAAAAAATGATTTTTCAAGTAAAAATGATTTTTCAAGTAAAAATGATTTTTCAAGTAAAAATGATTTTTAAAGAAAAAATGATTTTTAAAGAAAATTTAATTTTTGAAGAAAATATCAACCCCTGAATTACCTATAGATATGCCTAGACCTCCTATACCTAGATCCCCTAAACCTAGTACACGGGATCCATCAGTTACCACCACAGCATCAACATCATCACTAGATATATCATGGATAGATGGATGAATAGATATATAAATTGATGGATTATAAATACTTTGGTATATAAATATATACCTAGCTGTTTTCTCAAAATGTGCGGGAAGTTAAAATTATTCGACATTTACCTCAAAAACTACTAGATGATTGGCTAGGATACTCATTAGATAATATCAATAAAATGATGACGACTTCATTATTTAAGTTTTTTAAGAAACAGGCTTTTTTCAAATTACAGGTTAAAAGTAATTAGAGGCTTTTTTAGAATTACAAGTTTACAAGTAATTAAAGAAAGACTTTTTTAATTAATAGCTAATCTTTGTTTCCATTTTTTGTGCATTCATGCTGTTTAAAGCTCGATATAAATCAAAATTGAAATTGAAAGAAGTCTTCATTTTATTGATGTAATCGCCTACCACCGAATAGATCAATAAAATAATGAATGGATTGTTATAATGTGATCTAAAAGATAGATAAAATGAAAGAAAAAAGAAATGCAAATATATAGATAGAAAGATGTGACTAACCTTGGCCAGTTGTAGACCATGCTAGCCATCTCCCCTCTGTCATTAGCGGAGAAGTACATCCCCCTTGGTCGGCGATACAGATGGGAGAAATTCTTACAAGCCCAGGCTACTGTTGGAGTGTAGATTATAGGAGCCATTTCCTTAATAATGTATATTGGCGTCCATAGTCCGGAAACCATTTTTTAGATATTTATTTCTAGATTTGATTGTTATTAATTTAAGTAAAATCGAGTGACTCCTTTTCCTTTTAAGCTGTTAAAATAAAATTAAAAATTAATTCCAAATTGTACTTTGGGATTTTGGAAAGCAAAAAAGTGTTCTAAATTTAAATTTATGGGGTTGGTCGATAGAGTACAAACCTGAAAGTTCTCCATGAGTATTGAGTAGAACAGGGTTTCATTCCTATCCTGGAGATACTGGAGAACCTAGACATTTCATTCCTTAGATTTTTTGTTAAATCAGGAATGTACATTTTACTGAAAAATCCTCCTCCTCCTCCCCCCTTTTTAAAAATAATTTTATTCCCCCGCAAGTAAATTGTTTGTAAGGATATTATTCGCTGAATTGGGGAAAATAAAGGATTTTAAAGGGAAAAGAAAGGATTTTTAGGGGGAAATAAAGGATTTTAAAGGGAAAATAGAGGATTTTTATGGGGAAATAAAGGATTTTAAAAAGGGAAAATAAAGGATTTTTAAGGGAATAAAGGATTTTAAAAGGGAAATAAAGGATTTTAAAGAGAAAACAAAGGATTTTAAAGGGGAAATAAAGGATTTTAAAGGGAAAATAAAGGAATTATCCAGTAAAAAGTATCAAAAAGTGTGAAAAAATTGGACTTTGGAAATCCAATTATTTTCCAAATCATCAGAAATTAGTTCACTCTGATTCTGAAAATATACACGATTGTGATCAAAATTTTATTTGGATTTTACAAACATGTGTGGATTGTGAGGGCTAAACTAATGATAATAGAAGTATCTGACTTAACAAACAAAGTTGATCCACTTCTCTTTCCCTTAAACTGACGCCAAAGGGAAGTGGTTCAACTAGGTCCAAGTAATTCAAACACTTCTCGCTATTCATTTAAATATAGTCTTCGGTATCATAAAACACTTGAACCGATTATATTATTTTTATAAATCCTTTGTCCGAATTTAATGGACTTAAGCCGCGTCTCAAATCCCCCAAAAAACCGGTTTCAATTGAGCGCTGGCTTAAATCTTGAAAATTGGAATACAATCTAAAGTGGAACCAACCATATTTGAGCCGCGGCTTAAATTCGGCCTCTTTTCTTCTAAAATTATCGAAAGAGAATGATTTCCTGCCATTTCCTGATATCATCAGGTTTAACCCCGCTCTTCATTATCTCATCAGACGGATCCTAAATAGATATAGATAGATAGATGAAAGAAAGAGATGGACATAGATAGATAAATAGGTAGACAGGTGAGTTCCGGTTCTGCTCTAGCTGCTTAACCCTCCCAGTATTCTTCCATATTAATTAGATAAATATATATTATATGTATATGTAAAAAGATAGATAGATTGACTTGACAAATATATCTCTGTTAATATTAAAAGCACAAAAAGGCAGACCACATTTTGGAATTGGCAGGACTAGGTCTATTTTTATTAATCATATTTGTAAAATTAGATTCTTAAGTAGTCTGATTAATCATAAATTAATTCCGGCTCTTTTCGGTTATGGCTGTAGATAGATAGGTAGAAAGGTACTTGTGCTTCTCTAGCAGCATTTTTCCATAATAATTAGATAGATAGATAGATGGAAAGATATAGATGAGTAATAGTACCTGTGCTGCTCTAGCAGCTAATCCCTCCCAGTATTCTTCCACAATAATTAGATAGATAGATAGAAAGATATAGATGAGTAATAGTACCTGTGCTGCTCTAGCAGCTAATCCCTCCCAGTATTCTTCCATAATAATTCCCTTCTGTTCATCTATTAATAATCTTGCAGGGGGGACAATACCTATTTAAATATAAAAATTTAATAAAACCAACCATAATAATAATAATGATAATATTTATATCTATCATTGATATGAATTAAAGGAACTGTAAGAGTAATTTCAAGTGACCCTTCATGCAACGATGGCAATAGTGTCGTTATAAATTTTGTCGTTTTCCTAGGATATAGGTGTTAAATTAGAATTTATGTTAAAAGCGTCAAACTAGAATTTTTGTTTTCTGCAGTATAAATGCGCAAGTAGAGAAACCACAATTGATAATAATCAGTTTTCAAAATTGTAAACACAAATATCTAATTCATACTTGATCAGACAAAGCTTTAAAAAGTAACGATGTGAATCGGGCATTGCCATCTTTGGCTTGGAGGGTCACTTGAAATTACTCTAACAGTACCTTAAAAAAAGACAATTGGGGGAAATATGGCCATCTTTATTTCTAATATTTATTTAATTCATTAGTTCTAAAAATGTAAAAAAAAGTATCATGTTTCGCGACCCCTCCCTTTAACTCTAAAATTGTTACGCAAACACTCCCTTTAAATAATTACCTCTGATGTCCAAACGATCCCTCTCAGCCTCAGAGAATGCTAAACCCTTGTTGTAGATTGGGTCATTTAACAGGTTCTTTCCTAATCAATCAATCAATCAATCAATCAATCAATCAATCAATCAATCTATCTATCTATCATTTCAACCTTTAATATAGATTCTTTTATAATCAAACAATCAAATTCAACTCTTGTTATAGATTGGGTCATTTAACAGATTCTTTCCTAGTCAATCAATCAATCATTTTCAACCTTTAATATAGATTCTTTTATAATCAAACAATCAAATTCAACTCTTGTTATAGATTGGGTCATTTAACAGATTCTTTCCTAATCAATCAATCATTTCAACCTTTAGTATAGATTCTTATCTAATTTATCAATCAAATTCAACTCTTGTTATAAATAGGACCAGTCAATAGATTGTTTCATAATCAATCAATCAATAAATCAATCAATCAATCAATCAATTTCAACCTTGTTATGCAGGGTTATATGCAAAGAATGACAGTAAGGACCTGAAACTCTTAAATTAAGTATCCCGCCATGAACATAATGTTTTATGGATTATCTAATGATCAAGCAGAAAAAGAATCAAGGTTATTATAGTTCCAGGGAATTGTAAATAAAAGGAAACAGCCAACATAAATTCTGTTTAAAACGAAAACGAAGTCTCATTCTTCGTGGGGAACCCTGCGGTATATTGGGCCAATCAATCAATCAACCAATAAATCAATGAATTCCACCCATTAGTTAGTTTTAAAAACGCATAATATGAAAGCGTTTAAAGATTTGTGTTAAAAGATGGCTTCATATGTAAAATAAACGCAATCAAATCGCAAAAATTCAATTCTTACTTTCCTCTTCTAAGTTTCGGAAATGCGATTAAATAAACCTTAATTTACCTTTCTTTGGAACGATTTCTGCCTTCATATATTTCCCTCCGGCCATTTTTGACGATATATTCCTAAACATTTTCTTTATCATGTTCTACATTGTTGTTTTAATTCGAAATGTCCAAAAATCGTTCTCTAGGACGGACCCCGAAACTTATATCTGGTCATTATTCTAGAAGATTTAGTCGTTTACTATTATTAAAAGTGTAGGAAAACGTCTGATAATTCCTTTGTGGTTTCCTCGGTAATTTCCTAGTATACGATTTTAAATAATAATAAATTTGCTGAAAAATGAATGGTCATGTACTAAATTGATAGGAGGGGGGGGGGCCTGGGGGGGGTCCAAAAATCGTTCACTAGGACAGACCCTAAATACGGCCTGACATTGCCCCATCCTATCAATTTTGTACATAACCTTTTCAACAAAATTGATATAGATTTAGGGTTAGGGTCAGGTTAAGACTAGGAGGCCGAGCGCCGCGGGTAGGACAGGCTAGGGGACTGGGCGCTGCGGCCACATGACCAACTTAATCCTTGTGTTAAATATGACATGCATGTACAAAATTGTAAGGAGGGGGGGGGGTCCAAAAATCGTATACTAGGACAGACCCGTTTCCTCCAGTAGAAATGCGCAAATCATTTATGAAAGTAACCGCAATTAAGAATAATTAATTTTTAAATTATAAACATAGACATCTGATTTAATCTAGATCAAGCACAGCTTAATTAAGGGTACCGTTGTAAATCGGAACATGCAATATTTGCATAAATGGTCATTTAAAAATTACGCTTATCTTGTCTCTTTAAAAACAGGTTTTAAAGATAAGCACATTAAAGTTAATATTAAAGCGTTTTACCTGGAAACTACAGAATTAACTGACATCAGTCTTTTGAGAGTCGTCATGACGAGTTTCAAACTAAGTTGTCATTTATTGAAATCTGAAATAAGATTATTTGATTAAGAAATATATAACTAGATTTATCATTTAATACGTGATGTAAGAACATGTATATAGATGGGTTATTTTTACCTTTTGGTTAACAGGTTGTTCTTTACTTTTTTCCATTCGTTTCCAACGCTGTAGACGTTGTAATTAACTTACGAAAGCAAATGAAAAAACTCCAGCAGCACATTGAATGGTGACAATGCCGCGTTACGCCGGTTGTACGGCTTTTACGTTTGACGTAGAATTGAGTTTTTTAAAACAGCTGTAACAGCTGGTACTGAAATATTGCCTAATCAATAGGCCTATACAGAGCCGGCAAAATAAAAAATATAAGAAAATACGACTCAGGTCTAAGCTGTCGTTGGGCATATTTTAGGGCTTGAGCTTTTATATTTAAGTTGCAACCAGTTTAATATTGTATTTGGCTAATTTTCATTGAATTGGCGCATTCTGGGTATGGGGCTGGGCAATTAGGTCAAACCAGGTAGAGTTAATTAAATTAAGTATACCTCCTAATGGTCGGCTTCAAGGCCGAAAAATTGTTAGAGTTCCATAACTGTAATAGACAACACTGTATATGTTTATGCTAGATTTTTTCAATTTTATTACTTATGGAAATGTTCCACTTTAGCTCTAGTTTCCGTGAAACATAGTCCGCATGATACAGTACCTTTAAAGCTGTCGAAATTGTAAGCTGTGACAGCATGTATTCAAAGTACATTGAATGCCGCGTCTGCTGATCCCGTGCTGTATGAGTGATAAATTCCTGAGATTATGCAATATTTGATGCAAAAAGTTGGCAGCTAAACAATTCTTATTATCTTTAGACAGTCATCTGGCTTTACATCCCTTACACAACAGTTGACGGAAAACAGTGGTCAAAGTAACATACACGTCAGAAATAGAAAAATTAATTGAAATTACTTTTGTCGAACGGTTTAAATACGGGTATATTCCTAGAGAACGATTTTTGGACCCCCCCAGGCCCCCCCCTCCTATCAATTTTGTACATGGACTCTCACCTTAGCTTCCCCTTCTACTCTCCTTCCCTGTCCCTTCCGTAGTTCTCTATCTTCCTCTTTCCCTCTCAGCCTTCCTCTTTCCCTCTCAACCTTCCTCTTTCCCTCTCAGCCCTCCTCTTTCCCTCTCAACCTTCCTCTTTCACTGTCAGCCTTCCTCTTATCCTTTTAACCTTCCTTCTTCCCTCTCAACCTTCCTCTTTCCCTCTCAACCTTCCTCTTTCACACTCAACCTTCTTCTTTCACTCTCAACCTTCCTCTTTCCCTCTCAACCTTCCTCTTTCCCTCTCAACCTTCCTTTTTCCCTCTCAACCTTCCTCTTTCCCTCTAAACCTTTCTCTTTCCCTCTCAACCTTCTTCTTTCCCTCTCCCTCTCAACCTTCCTCTTTCCCTCTCAGCCTTCCTCTTTCCCTTTAAACCTTCCTCTTTTCCTCTTAACCTTCCTCTTTTCCTCTTAACCTTCCTCTTTCCTTCTCAGCCTTCCTCTTTCCCTCTCAGCCTTCGTCTTTCCCTCTCAACCTTCCTCCTTTCCTCTCCCTTTTTCCCCCTTTTTCTTTCCCCTTTTCTTTTCCATTTTCCCTCCTTCCCTTTCCTTTTTCCTTCCCTTCCCCTTCTCTTGGGTCTTTGATTTCTTTACCCCCAGGGGTTGGTGGGTAAAGAATTTTCTACACCCCTGCTAAAATGGTGATATAATACAGTGGTTGAAACATGTATTTCTAAACAATATCATGTATTTAAATACTTCATAATAATGAGTGGTCGGTGTATATTATTAAGTATAGCAAATACCTACTCCATAATAGTTTTACTTGAGACGTATCTATCTAGGTCTACCCGTTACCAAGGCAAAGGCAATATCTCAACCAGGCTTAACTCTCCGGTTTCAAAGAACACACAGTCCCAAATTTCAACCAGGCTTAATTCCCTAGTTCTAAAAGCCAGACAGGCAGGCAATTGAAAATGCTACACAGGCAATTTCTCAACCAGGCTTAACTCCCCGGTTCCAAATCTCAACTCGTAATATTCAACGAGGATTCAAGCTATCTTTCAAGCTATATTCGATCAGATATGATTGCCAATTATCAAGGCACAATCTCCACTCCTATAATTCAACGAGATCACAAGCTATCTTTCAAGCTATATTCGATTCAATGCTAAATCAACTAGCAAAGATCTCTGCTCGTAATGTTTCAACGAGAACACAGACAACTTCTTACATCGTAATCAAAGCAGAGTCTCAATCAACTAATCCACATTTCGTAGTTTATTTTAGAATTGGGTTATTTACAGCGTAATAACAAGTTATGAGCAGTATTATCTATGACGCATTAAATGGGTATGTCGACAAAGTTATATCTTCGAACATGGAATGGGTTAATCGCCTTACAAGATTTGCGTGGTTACTCTTTGAACAAATGACGACATATATCACATTTTGCCCCAAATTTTGCTACATAAGTACTAAAATTTTATTAATTCACCTTTTTTGTAACCGACTATGTAAGAAAATACGTATGCTTTGTAACAACATAAATTCCACAAATTTTATTTTAAAACATTTGGATTTATCAAAATCCACACAAAAAATCAACGAAAAATAATTGTTAACTCCGCAAAAGTTTTTTTGTTATTGTTTGATAATAATAAAAATGATAAATGCAGCAAAGAGAGCAATAGATAAAAGTACAGATCGAAGATTCCTATATTTCATATTTCAGAAAGTGAATAATGCAATATGTTCCAGGGAACAAACTCACTAGAAAACACTTTCTATAGACGGGAGTGTATTAAGGTGAATAGTTGATTGAGTGATTGATTCTTTGTTTCATTCATCCATTTATCATTTGTTAGAATTATTCGCTCATTTGTTACTTCATCCTTTCATTGTTTCATACTTCATTTATTTCTTCATTCATTCATTCATTCATTCATCCATCCTTCCTTTCATTTGTTTGTTCATTCATTCATCCTTTCATTTATTCAATCATTCATTCATCCTTTCATTTATGCATTTATTCATTCATTCATTCAATATCATTCATTTGCTCACCCTTTCATTCACCATACCATTCACCTCTTCATTTATTCATAATTTCATTCATCCTTCCCCCATCATGTCATTCATTCATTTATTCATTCATTCATCCCCCTTCTTTGCTTGGTTCATCCTTGTGGCCACCAATTTCTTTTAAAAATTCCTCGGTCCCTTAAAGTAATTTATTTTATTTTTGTTTTGCTTCATACATCCGTAAGTCCGAAACTTTGTGTGGGCTAACTTTATTTGAAGGATCAATCATAGATCCTCAAATGTTAAAGGGCCCACATTGGATATCGAGATGAAGAGTTCAAGATTAACCATAAACACTAAAGTTTTTATCTCTGGCTGATTTCCATTCAAGCTTTTTACACACTTGTCAAACCGAGCCTTTTTATGCTATAATCTGTTGTAAATATTCCGGAAGTAAATCTTATCTTTCCTCGTTGACAAATTTCACATATTTTATAACTTTCAATAAAACTATTTTTCTACCAGGTAACTGAGTCATAATTTTGTGAAATTTACCTTCATTTTTTTCATGATTTGATCCTCTAAAGACAACAATTTAAAAATATTACTGAACTTGACTACAGTGGTTCCCATACAACTGTGGAAAAGCGAGACAATTTTTAGACTCAAATTTGGATTTTTAAGTCCATTACTGACGGGTTGGGTTACTCGTTTTTTTCTGAGGCTATCTAGAGGACAAATGAGGTCCTTTGTTGTAAATAAATAAATAATCCCATTGAACATTAATGCAAAGTTAGCACTGTCTCTTTTTATTTAATGAATTGATTTTTTTTTTCGTAAAACATGAAACTCACATGCTTAAATATCGTCTTCTTATTCCACAGTTTTATGGGTGCCACTGTATCTACAATATATCTTAATTTAATTAACCATTTTACTGTCCATTTCTATCATTTACTGTCCATTTCTATCATTTACTGTCCATATCTATCTATCTACCTATATATTTATATATCTATCTATCCATTAACATCAATTAAGATTTACTCTCTTCTTTCTCATCTTATGATCTTTCTATCTATATAATAACTATCTACCTGTCTATCTAGGGTATCCCTAGTCTGAAAGATGACAAGGTGTGTTGCTGTGGACTCCATTTATCTCTCCATCCTCTTCATCCAATACCGGTAAATAGATTCATTTATCCTTTAATCCCCTCCATCCAATCCCGGGAATAGATCCATTTATCCCCTCCATCCAATCCCGGTAAAAAGATTTATTTCTCCATTCATTTCATTCCAAGAAGGATGCATCCGTCCTGGAATGTTTCGTTTAAATCAGTAATTTTTTCTCGATACTAATATCTTTAAGATAATATTTTTACCATTTTTTTTACACAAACTTTATTTCAGGGTATCAGTCCTGCTAGTACCAGTAAGGTAATCATTTAAAAACTATTTTTAAATCAATGTAAATCTAAAAAACTTTTTTCTTTTTATCTAAATCTTAAATTTTAATTGAATAACTATCATAAATTACACTAAAATATCGCTGAGAAATATTTTTTTTACAGAACTGAACACTCCTTCACTTTTTATGAAAAATCTTTTAAAATTTCTTTACACTTCATTTTTTTAATCTTAATATCAGCAAGGGTTGATTTGTAGAGATACTAACTTTCAACTTTTAGAATTTAAATCTATATAAAAAAACAAGACATATATATGTTGCGTATAGCTGGCCAAACGGCTGAACCGATTGGGCTGAAATTTATGTGGACACTCATGGATGACCGGGGGTTGTCATAGGCGGAAATATTCGAAATTTTGTTATCGAATTTTTGTTTAAATTTATTTCTTCCACGGGCAACGCAGGGCCCTTCAGCTAGTAAATTATAAACTAGCTGAAGTGACCGGCGTTGCCCGATTTTTTTAGCCAATGTTATCGCCCGGGTACCCATGGGTTTCTCAAAAAAATTCGGCCAATTCGGTCCGGCCGTTTGGCCATCTATAGCCAGCAATAGCATATAAATATATATATATATATATATATATATATATATGAGCGAAGAGCTTTATTATATAGAGATATGTTATTCTAGGCTGACCCTAATGCTACAGAGCACTGGAATCCAACGCGGCATACTGTTCCTCTCCCGACTAATGCCTTCGGTTGTATTGACTTCCAGGGTAGGCATATAGTGTGTACTGTACACTGTATACTCTACACTGTGTACTGTACACTGTGTACTGTACACTGTATACTGTACACTGCATACTGTACACTGTATACTCTACTCTGTGTACTGTACACTGTATATTGTACACTGTATACTGTACATTGTATACTGTACACTGCATACTGTACTCTGTATACTCTACTCTGTGTACTGTACACTGTATATTGTACACTGTATACTGTACATTGTATACTGTACACTGCATACTGTACACTGTATACTGTACACTCATATCAGTTTTTAAATCTTGCAAATTTTTTGCGATTTTCTCAATTCTTTTATCGATATTTACCACCTGATCTGATTCTGCAATGTAAATACTATTGATTTTTATATTTAAAATTTAGTTATTCTATCATCAAATAAAGACTAAGTGTGATTTAATATTGTATTTTGTATTTCTATGCTTTTTAATATTTGTTCACATGATTGATTGAATAATTGATTAAATGATTAATTAAATTCATAATTTTATTTATTTAATTGGTTGGTTTTTGATTGATTATTGATTGAGTGGCCAGTTGAGTTTGTTGATTGGTTTGGTTGATTCGTTTAATTGTTTGGTTATGGTTGATTGATTATATTGATTGGTTGATTGATTTTGTTGATTGGGTTGGTTGATTGATTTGATTGATTGGTTCGGTTGGTTGATTGGTTTGGTTTATTAAAAAGATGGTTTACCTATTTGGAAATAGGCCATGATTGGTTGGTTGAGCGAATAGTTATTGACTGCTGATTGATTGATTGATTGATTGATTGATTGATTGATTGATTGATTGATTGTACAGGTGGACCACACCCCAGCAAGGCCCAGTATATCCGACTGGCCCACGATACTAAACCAGATCTGGTCCTAACCCTACTACTGCAGGAGTGGGGACTAGAACTACCCAAGGAAACCATTCAAACATTTTCAAGGATTTTCTGATTTTTAAATAGATAGATAGATAGATAGATAGATAGATAGATAGATAGATAGATAGATAGATAGATAGATAGATAGATAGATAGATAGATAGATAGATAGATAGATAGATAGATAGATAGATAGATAGATAGATAGATAGATAGATAGATAGATAGATAGATAGATAGATAGATAGATAGATAGATAGATAGATAGATAGATAGATAGATAGATAGATAGATAGATAGATAGATAGATAGATAGATAGATAGATAGATAGATAGATAGATAGATAGATAGATAGATAGATAGATAGATAGATAGATAGATAGATAGATAGATAGATAGATAGATAGATAGATAGATAGATAGATAGATAGATAGATAGATAGATAGATAGATAGATAGATAGATAGATAGATAGATAGATAGATAGATAGATAGATAGATAGATAGATAGATAGATAGATAGATAGATAGATAGATAGATAGATAGATAGATAGATAGATAGATAGATAGATAGATAGATAGATAGATAGATAGATAGATAGATAGATAGATAGATAGATAGATAGATAGATAGATAGATAGATAGATAGATAGATAGATAGATAGATAGATAGATAGATAGATAGATNAATAATTTATTCATTAACTTAATCTTAAAATATTAAATTATTTATTTATTTACTTAATTATTTAAACATTAGATTATGCATTCATTAGCTTAATCATCTAAATATTAAATTATTTATTCATTAACTTAATCATTTAAATGTTATAGACTTATTCATTCAAATACTAAATAATTTATTCATTAAAATATTAAATTATTTATTTATTTACTTAATTATTTAAACATTAGATTATACATTCATTAACTTAAGTCAAGAGTCCATGTCCTATTCTATTAGTTAGTATTAGTTAGTATTAGTTAATACAATTTTTTTTAGATTTTATTATTTTTTTTCTCCGCTTGTAGGTTAAAGAAGGCTCTGGGGGAAGGACTGCTCAAGGCTGCTAAAACTACTGGAGCTTGGATTCTTACAGGGATTCTTTTTATTCATCAAATTAGTTCTTAGTAAATACGTTAATTCTTTTCATTCATTCATCTAATTACTCATCCATTCATTCACTCATTTTCCTACTCATCCATTCTCATTCACTCATCTAAATACTCATCCATTCATTCATCCTATTGCTCATCCATTCATTCACTCATCTAATTACTCATCCATCCTTTACTCATCTATTTACTCATCCATTTATTCACTCATTTTCTTACTTATGTATGCATTCGCTCATCTAATTACTCATTCATTCATTCACTCATCCTATTTTACTCATCCATTCATTCATTCACTCATCTAATTATTCATCCATTCTCATTCACTCACCTAAATACTCATCTCATTATTCATTCATTCATTCATTCATTCATTCATTCACTCATCTAATTACTCATTTGTTTATTTACTCATTAATTCATTCACTCATCTATTTACTCATTCATTCATTCCCTCATCTAATTACTCATTCATTCTTTTATTCTTTCATTTATTCTAGCACTCATTGTTTCATTCATTCTTTCATTCACTTTTTCATTCATTTTTTCATTCATTCTTTCATTCATTCTTTCTTTAATTTTTCATTCATTTTTTCATTCATTCTTTAATTAATTCTTTCATTCATCCTTTCATTCATTCTTTCATTCATTCATTCTTTCAATCATTTTTTCATCGTCTGTATATTAATTATTTTGTGTTTTTTAAATGGAAGATTTTCAATATTGCCGCTTTTTCTTTTTCCCGCCAATATATTTAAATGAAAATGCTTGAAATAGGAGGACTCAATACCGGGGTAACCAAGCATGTCGGGGACGCACTTGTCACTGAGAGGTCACCCAGGTTAGTTACGCAAAATATACGCAGAATTCCTGAACTATTACAAATTACGTACGCAACATTGAAAGCGCAGCATCAACCTTGAATTATATCGGTTTTTAATTAATTACATAATTACGCAATTTTTCCGGAAAATCTTGTTAAATTAACAGAGTTGGAAACTTAAAGGGACTGTACGCGTAATTTTAAGTGAACCTCCATGCTTTGCAGATTTACAACGGTATCCTTGAAAGTTTTGTCTGATCAAGTATGAATTAGATATAAACGATGTTGTTTCTTTAAGCTGTTATTTTCATTTGCGGTTTCTTTGCGAAATTGACATTTAATGCGTTTAAGAAGCAATGGAGAAACTAACAGAAGTAAACACTTTTTACGAGTAAGAAAACCCACGTTATCTTCCACATTCTTAATCAGAATAAGGATTCCAGGATACCATTATAAATCGGGCATTGGCATGTTTGCATGGAGAGTCACTTTAAAGAAATATTATCACGATAACAATTATAATATTTTAATATTTAATTATAATCAGGTTGCGAAGTGGAAGAGTGGTGAGTATTGGAGTAGCTCCTTGGGGCGTAGTGGAAGCCAGGAATAACCTTATTCAGAAGAATAAAGATATTGCTTACCATTCAATTCATAACCCAGCCTCAAGGTTAGATCATAATAATAATAATAATAATGATAATAATAATAATAATATTAATAATAATGATTAAATTATAATAAAGACAGTAATAATGATAAAATTATAATAGTTATAACAATGTGTTACAATTATAGCAATGATAATAATTATAATAATGATAATAATGATAAAATTATAATAATGATTAAATTATAATAGTTAAAACAATGTATTAGAATTACAGCAATGATAATAATGATAATAATGATTATAAGGATGATAATGATAATAATGATAATAGTGACAATAAGGATAATAATGATAATAATGATAATAATGATAATAATGATAATAATGATAATAAGGATGATAATGATGATAATAATATTAATAATGATAATAATGATTATAATGATGATAATGATATAAAGGATGATAATGATAATAATAATGATAATAATGATAATAATAATAACCCAGCTTCTATAATGATGATTATAATTATTAATTATAATAATCAACAATAATGGTAAGCAGGAAGTTGAGGAAGCATTCTCAGAAACTTTTTTTAAATTGACGGTTTTTATTAAGATTTGCTGCATTGAACAATCGCCATGCTTACTTTCTTCTAGTTGACAATGGAACTGTCGGTGAGTAATTCATCTTTGAATTTGATACAGCGGTAGGCGATTATATCAGTACAATGAAGACGACTTTTTTAAAAGTTTTAATTGTTTGCAAACTTTTTTTTTTATTACAAGTTTACTAGGAATCGAATATTGAAAGCTTAATATAAATCAAATTTGAAATTGAAAGTTGTCTCAATTGTATTTATAGTATCGTATCACATACTGATAAACCCGATTTAGATAGTGTAAACAACAATTTTTAGAAGAGAAGATAATTGTTATCACTTTTTACTCCAAATATTCATTAATGAGGCCATAATATTAAAGATTACAGAATAGGCTTTCTTCCTAATCAACAATTTTAGCTTTTATCTGTTTTTCTGAGAAAAAAATCAGTCTCAAATTTTCGCAGATTCTTTATTCAAATTGGTGCATTTTTAAAACTTACATTGACATTTACATTTTTCCCGGGCAAAAATTTTTACCGTCCAAAAATCTTGGGCCTGATCAGTTCATCTGTTTCGACGTTTATTGGGCACAAAAACTGAGATGGAATAACAAGCTAAGTAAATATAGAGATAAATATGAAAATAATAAAAATGTCTACCATCTCTCCTTAATATATTTATTTCAGGCAAATACGGTGCTGAGCTTGCGCTGCGCCGCAAACTTGAAAAATTTATTTCCCTCCAGAAACTCAACGCTTCAAAAGTAAGTTCTTCATACATTTTTTAAAGGGTTAAAGCTTTTTTTCTGATTTGCAATTAGTGATTAATGATAGACAATGCTTGGTTCGTTTTTTTTAAGGATTTTGGACTTTTGACGGGTTACACAAAATTCTGAGAAATTTTACACATTTTGAAAATTTTGAAAAACTTTTTTTTCCTGACACTACAGGGTGTCCCAATAAACATGGGAATTCAGTGACGAATTCGATATCGTCTTTTTAAATAATTCTTACATTTCTAGTATAGAGATACCTACTGAGAAAGCTGTAAACCGTAAGAGTTTCGTCTGCTATGTTCACATTTTGTTTGTTTATGTTTTAATTGCGTACGGTTGTACTTAGTAAAACAAGAAAATTACAGTTTACAAACAGAGTAAACTTGTCCGTTTTGACTGTTCATCTTGCGAAGACATTGTAGACACATCTTTACAGTCTTACACCCTTTTTATTAAATAAACTCTAGCGGACATAATAATATTATGGCTTTTGAAATTAGGTATTTCAATGCTAATTCATAATAAAGACGATATCGAATTCGTCACTGAATTCCCATGTTTTTTTGGGACACCCTGTAGGCGAGAGTTTAACCTAAAATATCTGAACAACTTATTAAATTGTAATATGAGACCAAACTACTATGTTTTTAATATTTGTTCAGTCTCGAAAGTTCCCGTACTGGACTCACTGCTCCACCCCCCTGGTCTGTCTGGTCATAGAGGGCGGAACAAATACCATTAGGGACACACCTCATAACCATTTTTGGGATACCTTCTCATTATCTTTATTTCGGGACACACTCATTTTTTTTGGGACACGCCCTCATAATTTTTTGGGACACACCACTCATTATCTATTCTTGGGGCCCATCGCCAATATTATTTTTGGGACACACCCACGTTTTCTATTTTTGGGGACATAAAATCATTTTATTTTTTCGCGACACACCTCATTATTACTTTTGGGACAACACCTCAATTCTATTTTTGGGACACCTTCATTGCCTTTTTTTGGACACTCCCTCATTTCTTATTTTGGGGCTTACCTTATTGTTATTTTTGGAACACATTTTATTTACATTGTTGGGACACCACCCATCAATCATGTCCCCATTATATTATTGTTTAGTATTTTATCCTCAGAGACCCCTTCCCAGTATATTTTTATGACGCACAATATTCTGTGTTTTTTTAATACACACAGGACATTTAATTTAAATTTTTTTACAAGTCCTTTTATCTTTTTTTGTTCTCTTGTTAGTTAAAAAAAATATTTTACTTATTATATTAATGTACAGAAAAGTTTTGACTTTGAGCTATTTACAATACATAAACACAAATTTTAATAACGATTAACAAAAGAAAGGTCTTATGATTTAAAACGTTGCCAACAATTTTGTAATTTCTAACTTTTAGAAAAAGTGTTAAGAATAGGTATATATATATCTTTTTATTACTTTTTAAAAGCTTATCAAAGACGACATATGTATTATTCTGTCGTGATGTCACCAATATAAAAAGCTAAATATTAATTATAAGCTCAACTATACTTGTATCTTTAATCTACGGTTACATTCATTTCCAACCTTTGTCGGTTATTTTTCTTTACCTTCAGGCAGCAAAAGTTGCATGACTGCCTAATAATCAATTTTTTATTAAATATAAGCCATTTCTTAAAATTCAAATGGTTGATCTTTTTTTATTTAATTATTTTTGTACCATGATTTGATCATTGTTTAATATGGCGTGACTGTGCGTTGTACACAGATCTGTACTGGAGTATGTGACGTCATCCCCACCGGTACCGGTCGTCATTTTTGACGGCACTGGCCGAGCAGCCGATATTCTAGCCTTCGCTCACAGGTATATAAGGGACTGTAATAAATATACCATATAGTACTTATTTATTTGTAACCTGTTGTCTATATATCATATGTTATCCTAATCACATTTTGCGGCCAGTCCTTAAGACAACCTGTATCCAGGGGCGTAAATAAGGATTTTCTGGGGGAGGGGGGTAAATTTGAACATTTTGAATTTTTTAATTCCCCCCCCCCCCCCACCCCACCCTAGACCATGTACAACCCCATTCATGATGTATATAAAATTATCGGTTATAGCTGGGTTTCATTTCAATTTCCCAATAATTTCTGGAATTAACAAACACTATCAAATAAAAGGCTTCCTTTACCACCTTTTACCTTTCACCTTTCACCTGACTTAATTTATATCCTGAAGGTTGTCCAATATAAATTGAGACTTTTTAAACAGTTTATAAAATAGCAAATCCGCCAATATGAAAAATCTGCGATAATCAGGCACCTGTACCCCTGGAACTTAGTTGCATTGTTTTGAAAAATATTCATCACTAGCTTTTAGAGCGCTTCGCGCCCATCTTCTATTTATTTGTCAACATTTTCTTTTTGAATTCATTGTAAAACAAAATCAAATCAAAATCAAATCATTCTTTTAGGGACGTCCTACACCCACACCCCAAATTTGAAGTGACTATACTAAATCAATAATGAAGTGAGGTCTTACGATTTGTAATTTTTGCTAATTTCCATTTGCTTATTCAAAAGAGTCTACAAGGAATTTTAAGAATTAAATCGGTATTTGTTATTTTGTTAATGTCAATAAATACGCGCGAAATTAACGATCTACAACGGACATCCGACGTTAACAAAAAACGGATTTTATAAAAAACTTCGTGGATTTTCAAAATTATCAAAAATAGAATTTTGTTAGAAGCAAATTTTTGAAAATTCAACTATACATAAACCTTCGCTGGGGTCACGTGAGGTCCCACAAAAATTTGGGCCCTACATAATTTTTCCTCTGATTTTAGTCTTACAGGCAACCTTTTTCTGCGAACAATTCCTTTAATAATAACCTCCATTTTAGATACATTAATGATGATGGAGAGCCCAGCTTGTTGTTGAACGAGATGTACGAGGAGTTCCTGGAGATGATACAGAAAACATTCAAGGTTGACCTAGAGCAGGCGGACCAGCTGTACAGGTACAGGGACTAGGTGCACAGGTACGGGGACTAGGTGTACAGGTACAGGGACTAGGTGTACAGGTACAGGGACTAGGTGTACAGCAGGTACAGGGAATAGGTGTACATGTACAGGGACAAGCTGTACAGGTACAGGTACAGGGACTAGGTGTACAGGTACGGGGACTAGGTGTACAGGTACAGGGACTAGGTGTACAGGTACAGGGACTAGATTTACAGGTACAGGGACTAAGTGTACAGGTACAGGGACTAGGGGTACAGGGACTAAGTGTACAGGTACAGGGACTAAGTGGACAGGTTTTTTAACAAAATTATACACTGTTTATTAATTGATTTATAGATTGATTGATTGATTGATTGATTGATTGATTGATTTCTTTATGTTAAGAGAGATTATTGAGTGTGTAAAGAAGCGAACTCTTATTACAGTGTATAGATGCTATGAGGATCAGAAGAGCAGGTAGCAGTAGCACTATATACTTCAGTGTTGTATCAAGTATTAGATAGATAGATAGATAGATATATAGATATATAGATATATAGATATATATACAGAGCGTCCCATATCATATCAGATTAGCTCCAATCTTTAACACCAAAATAAACCCTTAATACTCGAAAAACTTGTCATTTTCCGCAAGAAAATTCTCATATAAGCCTTATATTATTTTTCAAAATGATTCATTCTAATTAAATTTTCTAATTAGTCCCAAAAATCTTAATTTAGACCCGTTCTCGGTCTAATATGATGTGGGACACCCTGTATATTTGACTAAATATTTAATTAAGAATAATTTCAATTGCATTACATTTTAATTTAGCCAGGGCCTCTCTAATCATTGTTTGTTGTTTTGAATATCCATTTCATTGTTTTCATTCCTCTTCTATATCCTGTGTTGGTCACACCCTGCTTGCGGATAACTTTAATTGAGGGATAATGCATTATCTTCAACTTTAAAAGTGCCCTTATTGGATATCGTTATCAAGCATTCAATATTAACGATTTACAGTATACTCAGATATAGGTGCATACTGTATATGGGAAAAATTATATTTGAAGATGGTGGGGGGGGGGGGTCAATGACATCAACAGGTATCCTTTCTGTTACTTTTTTCCAAAAGTTTTCTCTCTTTTTTTTTAATAGTGTAAGAAAAGCAAATGTTTAAAATGAGCATTGTAATAAATTATATTTTACCCAAAAAAATATTTATAAAAAGCGAACGTTTTTAAATGAAGAGCGATAGTTTTCTGGTTCGTTTTTTCAATTGTTTTGAGGTGAAGATTATAACACGACAATATTAAGTGAAGATAACCGGGTTGAACTGGATTGAGGTGAAGATTATAACACGACAATATTAAGTGAGGATAACCGGGTTGAACTGGATTGAGGTTAAGATTATAACACGACAATATTAAGTGAGGATAACCGGGTTGAACTGGATTGAGGTGAAGATTATAACACGACAATATTAAGTGAGGATAACCGGGTTGAACTGGATTGAGGTTAAGATTATAACACGACAATATTAAGTGAGGATAACCGGGTTGAACTGGATTGAGGTTAAGATTATAACACGACAATATTAAGTGAGGATAACCGGGTTGAATTGGATCAGACTATCCTTACAGCACTCTTCAAATCTCAGCACCTCTCTCCTGCAGAACAGCTGAGCTTAGCGCTCACATGGAACAGGTGACTTTCTTTATTTCTAACTTCTGTCACCAGATGGTGCTGATTCTTACTTGCTCTATTTCTTTAGTTCTTAATTCTATCACAAGATGGTCTCTGTGGCATAAATCCGCCACCTCGCTTCATTGTAAAGATACCACAATTCAATTTTCAGATGGATAGACAAACAAGGATAGCTCAGTCGAAGATTTAAATGACATCCTTGTTAATCGGGCGTGCAGCTTTATATTCCCTTTATATCTATTAGTTTCTCCTTACAGACACGCTTTTAAATTACTACTCACGAATCCTTATTGAGACAAAAAGTTCTTGAATACAATGTTCGAAAAGATGAACAATACCTCTAATTTACTTTTATTCTTTAAGGGACTGTAAGCATAATTTTGAGCAAAGCAACCCTCCGCTATAAGATGGCAATGCACGATTTACAACGGTACCTATAAAACCTTTATCTGATCAACAATGTGGAAGATATTGTCGTTTTTCTAGGTTTAAAAGTGTTTTAATTCTGATAACTTCTGAGTTTTTTCCTGCAGTAGAAATGCGCGAGTCACTTCTGTAAAGACTCAAAAACTGTAAAATATTCTGTTCTTAAAATTTCAAACATTGATTTCATATAATTCATACTTCATCAGACAAAGCTTTGAAGGATGCTATTGTAAACCGGACATTGCCATCTTTGCCTAGAGGATACCTTGAACTTACGCTTACAGCCCCTTTGCCTATTTAGGGAGGATATTGCCCGCTCCCAGGTATTCCAGTATGGAGTTGAATGGACTCCAGGAGAACTAGAGCAGGCAATGATGGATGCCCTTATTAACAACAGGTGGAGTACTTCGCAGATTTTTAAAAAGGTTTTTGAAGTTTGAAAAATTGACAACAAACCAACAGACAAAACAAACAAATGTAATTATTATTATTTTTATTATTTATTATTTTTTCAGCCTTTTTTATTCATGTGTGTTCTTTACATTAAATTCTATTATTTCTTTATTACTTACTTCATTCATTTATTCATTCATTTTTGCCAATTTTTAAATATTCCTTGATTCATTAATTTGTTTAGTTCCCCTTTCATAGTTCTACACTTCATCTATTATTCTATATTTATGCTTTGTATGTTTGTTTGTTTCCAATTAACGTCAAAACGGCCAATCCATTTGGGCCAAATTTTTTTTTGACAACCATATGACCCCAAGAAAGAATTATTGATGGCTAAAGATGAAAAATTTCGCCCGGAAAAATGTCGACATTCATTATTTTTGAAAATGCGCGAATTTTAACAGAAAAATCGTCGAAATACGATTTACGAAGAAAAATGACAGATTAAGCTTGAAAGCCTAGTTATTTATACTTATAAAAAGATACGATCCAATCCACACTAATCTTGCCTCTGAGATACATTCACGATTGATATCATCAATCGTTACATAGAAAACTTCAATTTTTGGAAAAAAAAACGTTATTTTCTGTTTGTAATATTTATGACTTTTGTGCAGGGTTGCCTTCGTGAAGCTGTTGCTTGAGAACGGGGTGAACATGAGCAACTTCCTGACCATTGAGAGATTGGAGGAGTTGTACAATTGTAAACAGGGGCCAGCCAATACGCTCAGGAAAGCGAACATATCGGTCAGATTCAGAAACTGTCTCTTTTTTTGGAAAAAAATGTCAACTCTTCCATTTAACGCATTTAACTAACTGTTTGTAAAATTTTAGATTTATAAGTTTCAATTGTTATTATTCTGAAAGAATTAGACAGTCTGTTTAATTCTCCATTTCCCCAACGCATTGATAAAGCAGGATCAAAATTGTACACATGCTGTTTCTGTTGGAATTTTTAGTTTTAAGGGGCGTTGTGCCCTCTTACATTTTACTGTTGAGGGGTACAACAGCCCTCTTACATTTTACTGTTGATGGGTACAACAGCCCTCTTACATTTTACTGTTGAGGGGTACAACAGCCCTCTTACATTTTACTCTTGAGGGTTACAATAGCCCCTTTCCATTTTACTCTAGTGAAGTGCAATAGTCTCCTTCCATTTCACTTTTGAGGGGTACAATAGCCCCCTTTCTATTTAGATTTTGAGGGGGCAACAGTCCCCATATATTTTATTCATGAAGAGTAGAACAGCGCCCTTCCATTTTACTCTTGTGGGGTAAATAGCACCTTTCCATTTTACTGTTGAGGGGTTCAATAGCCGCTTTCCATTTTACTCTTGTGGGGTACAATAGCCCCTTTCCATTTTACTCTTGTGATGTGCAATAGTCCCCTTCCATTTCATTTTTGAGGAGTACAATAGCCCCCTTTATATTTTGATTTTGTTGGGGCAACAGTCCCCATATATTTTATTCATGAAGGGTAGAACAGCGCCCTTCCATTTTAGTCTTGTGGGGTAAATAGCCCCTTTCAATTTTACTTTTGAGGGATACATTAGCCCCTTTCTATTTTACTTTTGAGGGGTACAATAGCCCCTTTCATTTCACTTTTGAGGGAATACAATTGCCCCTTCTATTTTGATTTTAAGAGGGGTGCAACAGCCTGTTTTTACTCTTAGAGGTGCGACAGCTCTAATAAAGAGAAAACCCAGTCTTTCAATATCATAAATAGTATGAATTGACCTTTAGTTGGTAAATATTTAGATATCTTGTGAGAGATGTAGTTCCTAAAATGCCACGAGGATATTCTATTTCTCTGATCGATATAGGTAATAGTCGACATCTGTCCTGTTCTGTATTTCTTATATTATATACCTGTCCTGCACCACAGCTGATGAGTGGCGGTTATAAATCAAGTTACACCCGGCGAAGGTTCCGAAGAACCTATGTGGATGTGATGTCCCCTGTGAAGGTGAAGATAAAGCAGCATCTTAGCAAGTCCATGCACCCCTCACCATACGCAAGGGACTATATCTCAGCCAGCTTCAAGAAGGAAAACACTTTTTTTCAGAATTTTTCCTATTTTTTCAATTTGATTCAATTTCCTATTATTTAATCCATAGTACGGGACTATTGGACACTTTACATGGAAATTGATTGGGAAGTTTGCATGGCTTGCAAGCAATATGCATTTGATTTGATTTGATTTGATTTGAACTAAGAGGATTTCAAAAGCTGGTCGTTATTTGTTTCTTTAAGATTAATTTTCTTTATACATACCCGGCGTGGCATTCGCCAGTAGACGAAATGTATTTTTCCAATATCCATAGAAATATTTGTTTATCAAAATTGAAGAAAAAATATTTATTTTTGTGCCAGGATAACGGAACATCTCAGTTGATAGAAAACCCTGGCAGTATTAAGGAACATTTAAAAGTTCTAGACAATTAAGTCAAATTTATATTAATTTAAATTTTTTTCTTTTATTTGATTTTTATGAATAATTGTTATTTTGTTTAAACTTTTGAATGCTCAGAGTGGGTTGGGGGAATCCACTCAATATTTCGATCGGCCATTCAGTGAACTTATGATATGGGCTGTACTTACCAAGCGCCAGGTACAGTTTACACAAAAAGTTTAAAATCCGCATTTATGAAAAAAGGAAAATCCTCGAAAATTTTCATAATTGAAGAAGAAAAGCTTGTACAATGAAGCATCAAAAAGTAGAAATATAAGAGGAAGAGGTTAACCTAAACTACAATTTAGTAATGTTGCAGAGAACACAATGTTCACTTTTTACTTTTTAGTCATTCACTTACAAATTCCGTACAAATTACAGTATATACTATTATTATTAATCCATTAAAAAATTCTTTGCCAATTTACTGCGAAAAAAAAATTTAGAATTTATGCATGAATGAAAATAGAAAAAAATAATGTGACAGGATCCCCGATCTTTACAGAAATTTACAGGAAAACTGAAAAGTTTTAGAATGAACATTTGACTGAATATTAAAATTTTTAAAATTAGGATATGGCTGTTTTAATGTGGCAGCATGGAGAAGAGAATATCGCAAAAGTAAGTTTTTTTTCAAAAAAATTTTAAGATTTTTTATCTTGATGAAATTATATTGTTTTTGACTACTACCAATAACCATCCAGTGAAAATAATAAAAATGTCTACCATCTCTCCTTAATATATTTATTTCAGGCAAATACGGTGCTGAGCTTGCGCTGCGCCGCAAACTTGAAAAATTTATTTCCCTCCAGAAACTCAACGCTTCAAAAGTAAGTTCTTCATACATTTTTTAAAGGGTTAAAGCTTTTTTTCTGATTTGCAATTAGTGATTAATGATAGACAATGCTTGGTTCGTTTTTTTTAAGGATTTTGGACTTTTGACGGGTTACACAAAATTCTGAGAAATTTTACATATTTTGAAAATTTTGAAAAACTTTTTTTTCCTGACACTACAGGGTGTCCCAATAAACATGGGAATTCAGTGACGAATTCGATATCGTCTTTTTAAATAATTCTTACATTTCTAGTATAGAGATACCTACTGAGAAAGCTGTAAACCGTAAGAGTTTCGTCTGCTATGTTCACATTTTGTTTGTTTATGTTTTAATTGCGTACGGTTGTACTTAGTAAAACAAGAAAATTACAGTTTACAAACAGAGTAAACTTGTCCGTTTTGACTGTTCATCTTGCGAAGACATTGTAGACACATCTTTACAGTCTTACACCCTTTTTATTAAATAAACTCTAGCGGACATAATAATATTATGGCTTTTGAAATTAGGTATTTCAATGCTAATTCATAATAAAGACGATATCGAATTCGTCACTGAATTCCCATGTTTTTTTGGGACACCCTGTAGGCGAGAGTTTAACCTAAAATATCTGAACAACTTATTAAATTGTAATATGAGACCAAACTACTATGTTTTTAATATTTGTTCAGTCTCGAAAGTTCCCGTACTGGACTCACTGCTCCACCCCCCTGGTCTGTCTGGTCATAGAGGGCGGAACAAATACCATTAGGGACACACCTCATAACCATTTTTGGGATACCTTCTCATTATCTTTATTTCGGGACACACTCATTTTTTTTGGGACACGCCCTCATAATTTTTTGGGACACACCACTCATTATCTATTCTTGGGGCCCATCGCCAATATTATTTTTGGGACACACCCACGTTTTCTATTTTTGGGGACATAAAATCATTTTATTTTTTCGCGACACACCTCATTATTACTTTTGGGACAACACCTCAATTCTATTTTTGGGACACCTTCATTGCCTTTTTTTGGACACTCCCTCATTTCTTATTTTGGGGCTTACCTTATTGTTATTTTTGGAACACATTTTATTTACATTGTTGGGACACCACCCATCAATCATGTCCCCATTATATTATTGTTTAGTATTTTATCCTCAGAGACCCCTTCCCAGTATATTTTTATGACGCACAATATTCTGTGTTTTTTTAATACACACAGGACATTTAATTTAAATTTTTTTACAAGTCCTTTTATCTTTTTTTGTTCTCTTGTTAGTTAAAAAAAATATTTTACTTATTATATTAATGTACAGAAAAGTTTTGACTTTGAGCTATTTACAATACATAAACACAAATTTTAATAACGATTAACAAAAGAAAGGTCTTATGATTTAAAACGTTGCCAACAATTTTGTAATTTCTAACTTTTAGAAAAAGTGTTAAGAATAGGTATATATATATCTTTTTATTACTTTTTAAAAGCTTATCAAAGACGACATATGTATTATTCTGTCGTGATGTCACCAATATAAAAAGCTAAATATTAATTATAAGCTCAACTATACTTGTATCTTTAATCTACGGTTACATTCATTTCCAACCTTTGTCGGTTATTTTTCTTTACCTTCAGGCAGCAAAAGTTGCATGACTGCCTAATAATCAATTTTTTATTAAATATAAGCCATTTCTTAAAATTCAAATGGTTGATCTTTTTTTATTTAATTATTTTTGTACCATGATTTGATCATTGTTTAATATGGCGTGACTGTGCGTTGTACACAGATCTGTACTGGAGTATGTGACGTCATCCCCACCGGTACCGGTCGTCATTTTTGACGGCACTGGCCGAGCAGCCGATATTCTAGCCTTCGCTCACAGGTATATAAGGGACTGTAATAAATATACCATATAGTACTTATTTATTTGTAACCTGTTGTCTATATATCATATGTTATCCTAATCACATTTTGCGGCCAGTATGAAATATAACATAAATATACAAAATTAAGTGCTATAAGAGAAAATATTTGAAAACCTCCAAAAATAGAGGTTGTGGGAATATTTCCCCCAATTCAAAAACATAGACAAAAAAGGAAAAGGAAAGGAGAGGAAAAGAAAAGTTACATAAATATTGTTTACATTTTATTTAATATAACTGGTGGTGGATTGTTAGCACTTTTCGACGATGAACTAACAACTTTTTGAAATAAAAATTATAGATTTATTTGTATTGTTGGAAAAATAGAAAAGGCTTAATGGTTTTAAAAAAATATGGGTTCTACACAAAACGGGCATTTTTAAGCATCTTTTTAATTCGGTATGATAGTTTATTATTACGAAATTGTCAAGACGACATTTTATGAATTCTTTCAATGTCTCTAAAGTTCTGGGTTATACTAAACATTGGATAATGTACAAAAGTTATCTAATTTAGGCCCTAGTAGCATGTACACTGTACAACGCTATGGCCTATGAAGCGGAGGATGATGATCTTGATGTAGAAATATACGAAGAACTTCTTCAATATTCAAAGGTGAACAAAAGCCGCGGCTGAAATTTTGAGGCGCGGATTGAATATGGTTGGTTCCATTTATTATTAATTTGTATTCAATGTTTCAAGATTTAATTCAGCGCTTAATTGAAACTGGTTTTTCGTGGATTTGAGACGCGGCTCATGTTCATTAAGGTGTGGCGTTTTCATAGCAACCACATATATTCTTTTCTTTCGAGTTTTCAAAATATGTTGCGATAGAATTAAGATAATCCCTTTATTTGTTATATGTGTGAGTGAGCTGAAGTTTTTCGGTATTTAACAGTGGTTTTCCTTTTTGAGCAAAAAATTATCTAGCGATTAATCTGAGAAGCCCAACCTCAAATCATAAATAAATCATCCAATGTAAAAGTCCAGACTGAAAACCCAATGTTATTGTTAAGTAAGGATTGGAAACTACGATTTAAAACTTAAGCGCTGATAGTAGAGCTGATAGCAAATCTCCACAATTTTTTTTGATTCGTTTAAAAAGGTAGCCCATCTCAAGCAAATGTTACCAACTCCGATTAATTTCTAGCAAATTAACCGCCATGTTTTTTCCAGGAGTTTGAAACCCACAGTTGCCGCGTCTTGGATTACTGTTATCAACAGGACGACGACCTCACCAAACAGGAACTTAAACAATATTTTTTCCTTCAGTTTTGTGCCTTTGACTTGCCAAGTTTAAAACAGATAAAATATCCCCTGAAAAGTGGGTTACTTCATATTTTCTTTGTACGCAGTGTATTGCCTATTTAAAGGATCTTACACTAGTATCAAAACTGCTAAAATGTTGAAAATAATGTTTGTGTCGGGTAGCTGCTGACCGCTAGTCTGGAAAACTGGTCTCGTCAAACCTGTCTCTCTCTGGCTGTTCTTGCAAACAACCGGTCAGTTTGTTTGTATTCCTCCCAGGAACTGCATTACACTCTTTTTTGTAAACAAAGATTTGGATTTTTATTTCTTAGTCTTATTTTGATCTTATCGAACAAAACAAAAACGTGCTTCCTTTAAAGTACTATGTTTGTATATTCATTAACAGCTAATGAACCTCTTCACTGTTTTACCTCAAATTTCGATTTTGAATCCGTGTAGAACCATTTTAATATTCATAGTTTAGTTTCAAAATGAAAAGTTGAGTGGGTTTTATGGAGATAGTTTAGCTGGTGGACAACGTTTTCACTGCATTTCAAGCAACTCTTAAAAACTTATATGGTGATCACTTGATTTCAGTTTTTTGTATTTCAGGAAATTTTTGGCTCATCCTCTGTCTCAGATAATCCTGGGAGATTTGTGGATGGGAGGTTTAAGGATGCGAAAAAATCCCGGTTTTAAGGGAAAAGATGCAAAATTATATTTTCTAAAATTCTATCAAAATCATATTCCTGGGCTGAAAACTTCAGAATTGTGGATATCAAGATCAATGCTTGAATTCTTCTTTTATTAATCTTTGAGTTATTTTAATTATTAGTTTGTATCCCAGAAAGTTTCTAAAATTCAACCAATCAGGGAGGTATATTTAGAATCCCGAACAACGAAACAGAAAACTCTCATCGGTCCAAATCCAGAAGGGATATCTAAAAAGACGGAAAAAGAATGGATTAAGCTGACGTCAAAAATGCACTGTGGATATTCAGCTTAATGGAATCGATATTAAGGGTTGGCTGAATTTGTAAATTTTAAGAAGTAGAACTTTAAAAGGAATTTTTTTTATTGCAATGCTCAGTAAGCCAATTTACAATGGTACTCTTAAAAGCTTTTTTTGATTAATAATATTCTCTTTGAAAGCTAATTATTATTAATTGTGGTTTCTCAATTAAGTGATTTGCGCAGTTCGGCAGTACAAACAATATTATAGAGGAGACACTTTAAAAACATTGATATCTTCCAAATTATTGATCAGATAAAGGTATAAAGGGCACCAATGTGAATCCAGCATAGCCATCTTAAAATGAGGGTCACTCAAAAATACAATAACAGTCCCTGTAAGAAAAAACATTTGTTAAGGCTTGGTGTTTAAAAGAGATTCTATTTTGGTGTAAGATGTTATATAGGTTTTTGTAAAAATCTGATTGTAATTTTCCTGCTGAAGATTGTGCTGGGGCTGCTGTTCCCTCCCACCCTGTACAGCCTTGAGTTTAAGACCAAGGAGGAGCTAGAGCTCATGCCTCAAACTGAAGAAGAATATATACTGGAGAAGGTAGGAGATAGGAGTAGTCTCTATACTGGAGAAGGCAGCAGATAGGATTAGTCTATATACTGGAAAAGGTAGGAAATAGGAGTAATCTATATACTGGAGAAGGTAGGAGATAGGAGTAGTCTATATACTGGAGAAGGTAGGAGATTGGAGTAGTCTATATTCTGGAGAAGGTAGGAGATGTGACTAGTCTATATACTGGAGAAGGTAAAAGTTAGGAGTAGTCGTCTTCATTTTGATTTTGTTAACACCATCATGTCATTGTAATTTTTCCTTTTTTAACATTTTCTAGGCTTTATTATTTTAAAAAATTTATTTTAAAGTTTCTTTCTATTTGCTCCGCGCGCCTATAATGTGTCTTTTTTGTTTGTTTTATGTTTTAATCTAGGGTTATTCCTTTTCACCTGGAAGATCATTTAAGGCAGTCTAAAGGGGTTCCATGTTGGGTTCCCTTTTTAGAATTACAGTCAATTTAATTTGAACTATTCATCTGTTGAAACTTTCTCTTGGACAAGGGAGCTTCAAACAATTCCTAAACCATTTGATTTGATTTGATTTGATTTGATTTGATTTGAATGTTCTCAACATTATTTAGGAAGATGATGACACTACATCCCAGTCCTCATGTGACAACTCATTTGTAGAAGTCAGAGAAGATATTGAGTCCCTTGGTAGGGTTGGTCCCTTCTTCCGGCCCAGGGTAGATTCTAGGTATATAATAAAAACACTACCCTCAATTTCATGATTCCATGTACAAAAAACTATTTTTGAACATTTTCAAATTAGAAAAGATTTTTACCATTTTGGAATAGAAAAGAATGTGTATGTTCAAGAATGTAAAAGTTAAATCAAGTTTTATCCTACTTGGATGGATATCTGTGTTCAGAGGATTGAGTAGCTTGGTTGAAGCCAGGGAGCCAGGAGATATCGGGGAAATCAGTATTCCCAATATAGATGAGGTAGATGCTTTTTATAATATTGAAAAATAATTTGTTCTCATAAATGTGAAATTTTAAATAGACTAATCTCTCTACACAGACTTTTATGTGTGTATTTGGTCAGCAATTTGATCAGGATCTGCTTCAAAATTAAATCTAGCCAATTTATTGTCAATAATTTGGGTTTCAGGTCAAGAGAAAGACTCGTCCCTTGAAGCTGAAAAAGAAAATTACTGAGTTCTATGGAGCCCCCATTACAAAGTTCTATTGCCATTCAGTTGCTTACCTCCTCTTCCTGTGTTTGTACACCTACATTTGTCTCATCAAAACTCCCCCTGAGCCTTCTGGAGCAGAGATATTTGTAACCCTGTATGTAGTCACCTATGGAATGGAGAAGATCAGGCAGCTTTTTGCTCTAGAACCAACAGAACTATCTCAGAAGTGGAAGGTTTGGGTTGCTAATTCAATGTGGCATCCTTGTGACTTAGCTGGTATTATAATCTACTTGCTAGGTTTTTTGCTCAGGTATTTGTCCTTTCATACTAAATATTTGAATTTGATACAATGATTTTGATTTGTTCCGGGTTAGGGATTAATTTAATTTAAACATATATGTATTTTTGTATAGTTTGTATCCAGTATTTAGTTAAAAATGATGATTTTTTCAGATGGGATCCAGGTACCAGGGCCTATGCTAGGGTTATCTATTGCACAGTCATCAATTACTTCTTTGTCAGACTTTTTAAATTTCTATCTGTTAGCAAATACTTTGGACCAGTGGTAACCATGATGTACCGAATGATTAAGAACATGCTCTACTTTATTGTTCTGCTCCTTGTTGTTCTGGTATCCTTTGGAGTCTGCAATCAGTCAATTAAGTATCCAAATGAAGAATGGCATTGGAGACTGTTAAGACATGTTTTCTACCAGCCTTATTTCATGCTGTATGGTGAAGTGTATGCCCCTGATATTGATCCAGAGTGCAATCCTGACTGCACAGCCTATGGTGAGTGTGGAGAAGCTATTGATGGATCTATGATGGTTCCTTGCCATCCAGGTCGTTGGGTAACACCTGTAGTTATGACTCTGTACCTACTTTGTGCTAATATTCTTATTATAAACCTTCTCATTGCAGTATTCAACAATATATACCAACAAGTCAATGCCATCTCGCATGAGGTTTGGAACTTTCAAAGATTTTCTGTTGTCATGGAGTATGAGGAGAAGCCAGTGCTTCCACCTCCCCTTATCATCTTTAGTCATTTATACCGGTTTTTCAGAACAGTCTACCGGCGCTTTACTGGTGCACATGGGAACCTTGAGTCTGGCCTAAAACTTTTTCTTGACCGATATGCGCTTGAAAAGCTTTATGATTTTGAAGAAGAGTGTGTCGAAAATTACATGTACCAAGTAGAAGAATCTAAGCAGGAAAATTCAGAAATAAGATTGCTAAATGTGATGAAAAGAACTGAAAAAATGGGTCACAAAATGGATCTTCTCAACACAAATTTATTAAACTTGTTACAGACAAATGATTTGGGGCTGAGGAAACTAGAGGATCTTTGTGAGAAAACAGCCAGCCAGCTGGCTGTCATTCATAGATTTATGTCAAATCACACCGGAGACTTCAGTGAAAGTCAACAGAACTTGGTAGAAAACTTGCCAGTCCAACGAGTCAGAAGAAAATCTTATAGTAGATCAATAAGTGAACGGTCCTCTCATGGTGTTCAAGAACTTGCAATGGAACTTGAAGAAAAATCGCGAAAATACAGAACTGATCGTTCCAAAAGGTTAAAATCTCCTTCACCTTTTGATGCCTCACCAGAAAATAGCCCAAGAAGACTAATTTCAAATGTTAACAAGACTGGAAAATTCAAGAAAGTTCGCACCAATTCTTCAGGTTCTGACAAATACCTTAAATTGTCCATTGAGAAGTCCAAAAGGAGAAGAGAAAGGACATTGTCCTCAGAACGGGATCTTGGGTCAGATATTTCAGAGGAGAGTAGTGAGGATGATTATAAACCAGACGACAGGACATTAGTTGGGGAAAATGTCATATCCAGAGAGAATATGCAAGAAGATGCTCCACCAGGGCGAGATGCTACAGTTAAAATCCATGAGTGTAGAAGTGAGGCCGGAGGATCCCAAGTCCAGGGATCTAAGTCTGACTCATCTGTAAGTTCAAGGGAGGGATACAGAGATCGTCTGAAGGTTTACAACAGGTGAACGTAATAAATTTAATAAGTCATTAATTATGATTCTGAAATTTCTTAACAATAATTTGTAAATTTCATGATGTACGAGAAGAAAGAAATGGGTGATTTTGTTTATATTAATTAACACCTTTAACAGGAAGCATCTTGCTGCTACCCGAGACTATACTTCAATTACTGATGAACTAGAGGGGCGTCTACCCAACCCAGTGAATGAGGATCGACTAGATAAACGACTCCCAGCTATCAGGGAACCAATCCTTTATCTTATGAGTCTATATTTGGTCACATTAATAGATTGTTTGATTTAGAGGTTGTTTTCTTAATCCATTGTCAGATTGATCTTCAGAGTTTTTGGTTGATTGTAGGTAGGATTGTAGGATTGAGGAATTGATAAATCATGGGTGTTTGATGGATTGATAGTTGATTGTTGATTGTTAATTGTTTGATTTTTGATTGTTTGATTTATAGATTAGTAATTAGATGGATTGAAAGAATAGTTGTTATATTGATTGGTTTTACTTTTTTGATTTGACTGAGTGATGCATTGATAGATTGTTTGATTGATGGATTGATGGATTGATGGATTGATGGATTGATGGATTGATGGATTATGGATTGATGTATTGATGGATTGGTTTGGCCAGGGTTGAGGAGAACACATTAATGGATGCTGAAGAAGCAGATTACAACCTGTTTGAAAACCTGATCGAAAGAAGACTAAGGTTTGTTAAAAACTAGAGTTTCCAACAGAAATTTGGAATTGTGCGAAATTGTCAGTGGAAGAAATGATAAATTAATCTTTATATTAGGAGGGAGAGTACCAACTTTCAGTCTTCGATGGAAGAAGATCAAAAAATCGATCAATTAATCATAATAGGAGGGAGAGTAACAACTTCCATTCTTCGATGGAAGACATGATCAATTAATCATTTTTTGGGGGGGAGAGTACGAATTTCCATTCTTTGATCGAAGAATTGATCAATAAAGTAATCAATTAATCATTATAATTCAAGGGAGAGTACCAACTTCCATACTTTGATGTTCGATGGAAGAAATCATAAAAAAAAAATCAATATATTAATCAATATATTAGGAGGGAGAGCACAAACCTTCATTCTTCAATGGAAGAAATGATAAATAAATCAATCCGAGAAGATTCTTCCTCCTCAGACTCTTCATCTGATCCAGACAACAAAGGTTAATCAATTAATCAATCAACTAGTCAATAAATTAATGAAAAATAAATTAGCCAAATCATAACACTAGAGTTTACCTTGTAAAAAAAGATACATTAAATTTAAGACAACATTTTTCATTTTCAATTTTAATATGGTACAAGCTATAAGACCTCACTTTGAGGGGTGAAAAGTAGGACTCCATGACAGCAAAATTTGATTTGATTTGTTACTCACAATTAAAGATTTCAATTTGAATACTACCTTATAAATTGGGACTCCGTGCAAACACCTTCTACTAGACATGGGGGGGNTTTCAAAGGAGGTTTAAATGAATTTTATAAAATGTACTCGCATGCATTTCCTTTAAATTGGGATTTTTGTAAATATAAATGATATCAGTCATCAGCACTAAGGTATGTTCAATGCCAAGAAGGACATAGTTTGTTCAAATTGAAAAAAAACTTCCTTGAATCATTAATTTCCATTATTTAAAGAAAAAAGTTATTGATTGATTGATTGCAATCTAGGTGACATACCTGCTCTTACTCGGGTTCAAAGCTCTAAAATCAGAACAAGAAGACACACCAAACCGAGAACCAAGGTAAATTCATTCAACTGTACGATGGTGTATCCTTCGACCCACGCACATCTGCTATACTACACTTTTGACCTATGCATCATCCGCCATACTACACTTTCGACCTACTAACACGTGGTTTACAGCTGCTAGTTCTAACCAAACCTTAAAAAAATACAAAATAAACAGAAGGTCCGGTATTGCAATAGGTCGTAAAGCAAGTAAAATAAAAAGTAGTGGTGGGTCCGATATTGCAGTAGGTCGTAAAGTAAGTAAAATAAACAGTAGTCGTGGGTCCGATATTGCAGTAGGTCGTAAAGCAAGTAAAATGAACAGTAGTCGTGGGTCCGATATTGCAGTACCTCGTAAAGCAAGTAAAATAAACAGTAGTTGTGGGTCCAATATTGCAGTAGGTCGTGAAGCAAGTAAAATAAACAGTAGTCGTGGGTCCGATATTGCAGTACCTCGTAAAGCAAGTAAAATAAACAGTAGTTGTGGGTCCGATATTGCAGTACCTCGTAAAGCAAGTAAAATAAACAGTAGTTGTGGGTCCAATATTGCAGTAGGTCGCAAATTAAGTAAAATAAACAGTAGTCGTGGGTCCGATATTGCAGTAGGTCGTAAAGTAAGTAAATTAAACAGTAGTCGTGGGTCCGATATTGCAGTAGGTCGTAAAGTAATTAAAATAAACAGGTTTTAAAATTATAAACATCGATATCTAATTCAGTTCAGACAAAGCTTTAATGATACCGTTGTTTTCAAATTAGCATGGAGGGTAACTTTTTATTACGCTTACAGTTCCTTTAAATACGAATTTGTTATAAAATTTTCCATTCTACTTCTGAATTTTTAGTTTTTATTGTGCTCTAGGAATCCCTGCTTCATCCACAGTTTTTGTTGCCTTCGCCTGGAGTTATAGAACCTCGGTAATACAGGGATTTATATCTTCTACAAAACTCATTCCTAAATTTTGAGTATTATATATATTTTAAGTAGTTTAAAAACTGTTGCATGGAATTTTTGGGGATTTTTTATCACTGCATTTGGAGAAATAAATAATTTTTAGATAAACGTCTGAAAAGGGAGAAATTATATTTTTATAGTTGTTTCCTACATTATTTTTTGTTACAGTTTTTATGACTGGTGAATTTTTTTGTTTTACAAATTTTTATTTTAGATCTCCAATTCTCAAAATAGAATCGGACAAAGGGACAAACTTTTCACCTGTTCCCCCCCTTCTTGAAGTTCCTGGAACTCCTGGAACAGTTCACCTGGGTCCTGGAGTACTTCACAAAATTCCTGGAGTTGAAATGCGCGAAAAACTCGCAAATACTAAGTTAGTTCCCATTTTGCCCGCAAAGGCCACAGGAGGCGCTGTAAGCTCATCTCTACAGAAAAATCCGTTCTTTTCCAGCCACGATGTTCGTCTTTCCACGGAAGTTACCGCTGCGCAAGATGGCGATAAGTTTCATGTTTCTTTTGCGGGAGGAAAAGGGAAAAAGTTTCTAGAGAAAAAGAGAAATAACAGTTATTAGAAATAAATTGGGAGTATAAGATGTTGGGTTTGCATATCAATTCGGGATTATCATCTAGCTCCAGTTGTGATCAAAAGGACTACAATGGGATTATGTTATAAGCACCTTGGAGATCGCACAATATAAATTTGTAATTTGTTTTAGAAATGATCTAAGAACTTTTTTTCTTTTTCCCTGGCAGAAAATTTAATCTGATAAATTTTATAGAGAAATTAGTTGAAATTCTTACCTAAGAAATTTTATTGGGAAATTAGTTGAAATTCTTCAAGAGTTTGTCACTTTCGAAAATCTCATTTTTTTTTTTGTTTTATATCAAGAATTTTTATGAACATTATACTCCTATATTTAGTCAATGAGAAAAGACCGAATTGCCAAATAATTTGTGTGATTTATGCCATGTATTAATGTGAACCCATTTTGCCATTTATTAATTTGTGAACCCACTTTGCCATTTATTATATTTATTCTCTATCAGTTGAAAATGCATTATGATCTATTTTTGGGGACCTAACAGAATTGGGAAGCTCAATTTTACGACTGTTTTTACAGTATATGAGGTTGTTTATCTTTAACACAAATACAAAAATGTCAAAATTGCACAATTTTTTTCTATCGTTGTTTCCATGATTTTTATCGCTTGGACTGCACTAAACGTAGAGGCAAAAGAACTCATTATTAATTAATATTATTAGATTTCTTAAGATGCAGAATAAAATCCTTTAAATGTCAGAAAATCTAGCTTCCATCACTGTTAGGCTCAATGCGCAACCCATCCCAGTGCAATATATTAACAATGGAATAAAAACCAAATAAAGCTGTGAATATTAGTAGAGCTCGATAATTAGCAATGGTAATCAAGTTGCTGATAAGCTGCTTAAATAATTAGTTATAATCCTATTTGCTGCTAATTATTGAGCTGTTTAGTGTTTAATTAATGAGTTGATCAAATAATGAGCTGTTGCCGCAATCCATGCCATTGATACCGTAAGTAAGTGCAGTATTCCACGCTTTAAAGGGAGTGTTCGTTCTTTTCGGAAAAAGGGAAAAGGACAAATTTTGAATCTAAGTTTGTTCTCAATTCCATTTTAAACAGAGTATCTAAGGAAAACTGTTATTATTTTTGAATTTTGTCGGCACTCCCTTAAATGTTGTGCGGAGTTTCATCTTTTATTCCAAGATTGGAACTCCCAGTTAGTTTTAGATTGATTGTCTTCTATTGTAGAAGTCAGCCATTTTGTCGGCTAATATGTGCCAAGTTAGATATTTATTTCATTGTAGCTTTTAGATTTTCTCTGGGAAAGAATTCTTTCAATTTCTAAATGTATAATCTTTCAACAAAATTTTGAGATTTTTTTAAACAGTTCAACTTTCAACTTTAAATAGCTTTCAATGTAAAGTTCAAAGTAGTGTTCAAAGTAGTAGTTCAATGTGTGTTTAAATTTTGTACAATTATACTAACGCTGTTGTGAAAACTTTTTGAAGTTGTAAAGTTCTCAATAATTACGCTGTACTGTACTGTACTCTTTACTGTACTGTGCTGTACCGTACTGCAGTTTTTACAATTTATTATTATGTACATGAAGAACCTGTTCTGTTTCCTCTGTCAATTTATCCGGTGTTGCTAAGAATCATAAACTAATTGTGAAAAGAAAACTTTGAATTTATTAAATATTTTTCGGATTTTTAATTTTTCACCATCCCAATGTAAACCAGCTCACTTAAAATAACTTTTTTTTTCAAAAAAGATTTTAAGGAACAATAATATTTGTTTTATCTTGTACCCCTCCTGGAGTTTTTGGTAACCAATTATTAGCCTTTTTAGTATTTTGATTAGTCGATCTTGTTAATGGGAGTGTTCGCGAAAAATAATTAAACAATAATTGGATTGTTAATATCGGTATTTTCCTAAACTGAAATAGATATAAACCTAAGGGTTTGTTCACAATTCCAATTAATTAAAGTAAATGGGGTTGCTTTAACGGCCTAGCCTACATCCTGTTTTGCAGCCTTAAACTTTTTTAAGATTAAAAAGTATTATAATTTTATTATTGTTCATTCTGTATACCCCCCTTCCATTTTCGTGAACACTTCCTTAAATATCTTTAATTACAATTTGTAATTGTTCAACTAGTCTCTCTTTTAAACAATACATATAATAGATTGTAGTTAACATTTTACATTTTACCATGGTTTCAGATAATATGTGACAAGTTGCAGTACACATACACAATGCAGTACATAAAAACAATGCAATAAATCGATGATATTTTTTAAAAACAGGTACAAAAGCATCGTAATGTTACGTCGTAGTTTCAATTTCGATTGCAAAGTTTAATTGCGGAATTTTGCAGCACAGACAGAAACATAAATCTACACTCATAAAGATTCAGAAACAAAAATATCCCTAGTTCCATGCAGTTGAAAACTAGCTACTTTTTTTACAACCCCATTAATAATGTAAACCATTTCAAGACAGTATTGAAGGAAGAAACCTAAATATAACAGATGTAACAGATATAACAGATAGTCATATTTAACGAGTTTTGGGTTTGGGTTATTAAAGTATCATCCTTTGTGGGTAAACCTGTAGATAACCATGAATGGTATATCGTCCTTTAAGATGGATTTACATCGGCTCTCATAACATTTTTTTTCTTAGAATTGAGTGTTCATTCCCTTTAAAGGGCTTGTAAGCGTAATTTTAAAGTACCCACCAGGCAATGTACGATTTACAACGGTACTCTGATCTAAACTGTGGAAGATTATGTTTACTCAAATTGTGTTTATTTCTTCAAAAGTAAACAGTTTAAAGAAACAAAAGCTTGGTTATCTAATTCTTACTTGATCAACCCAAGCTTTGAAGGGTACCGTTGTAAATCGGGCATTGATATCTTTGCATGGAAGGTCACTTGAAATTACGCTTATAGTTAATTATTATTTAAGAAATTGTGAATAATGCGACGAGGCCGTGTTCCTGAACTGGGGATCATACTCCTAGGCCTACAATTAGTCAGGAAACTTAATAATTTCAAATATAGATTATATTATATAGATTTTTTATTTCCTTTTTTTAATTATTGATATTTTGCTTACAACTTGTTTTTACGGCTGGCGCTGGAGAAAATATGAAAATGTCGTCTTCATTATCAAAAATACTCAGAACTGGAATTGATTTCGGATCATAGAAAATGAAATAAAATAAACCTTTTTTAAGCCAACAATAAAGCCCATATCTTTATTGATTAAAGCATATTTTTCACGCTTCTAACTCTCATTTAGTGCATTTTTAAGCTGATCACTCTATTTCATAAAAACAAGAATTCATATATATGTTCCTCTGGCCGGTCAAACGGCTGGACCGAATGGGCTGAAATTTTTTTGTACACATAGGTAGCTTGGGGGTGACAAAGGCCAAAAAAAATTCAAATTTTTTCAAATTTTTTTTATTCAAATTTCTTATTTTTTTAACTTTTTTTCACGGGCAACGCCGGGCCCTTCAGCTAGTTACATATACAATTCTTTTTTTTAAAATTAGAATTTTTTTTCAAATTTTTTTATTAAAATAACTTTTTTCAACTGGCTTTTTGGCCCTTCAGCTAGTTAAATATACAATTCTTTTTTTTAAATTAGAATTTTTTTCAAAGTTTTTTATTAAAATAACTTTTTTTAACTGTTTTTTTTTTCACGGGCAACGCCAGGCCCTTCAGCTAGTTACATATATTTCTTTTTCTAACAATCGAGCATTTTTATTCTAGTTTTTTTCTCAATATTTAATCTCATCATTTTTTTATTTATATATTGAAATTTTATTTTGTACAGAAATATCGGAGTAACTAATATTCCTCCTGTGACATGTCTCGCCATACTTGGACAGGTACAGTACCCATGTACATTGTACAGTGTTACAGTACACTCTAACGTGTCAGTACCCATAATGATTTTTTCAAGAAAATATGCATCCCTGTTTTCAGATTTTGGTGTTACCAGCTCTGAACTTTAGATCTTATTTTGTTATAGTTAAAGAGAATTAATTTGTCTTATAATAATTGATTTAAAGGGACTGTAAGCGTAATTTTAAATGATCCCCATTCAAGATTACACTTCCGGGCGTACAGTGGTACCCATAACAGCTTTGTTTGTTGAAATATGAAATAGATATCAATTTTTATAATTAAGAAAAACTAAACAAATAAATTTTTGTTTCTTTATATAACAGGAAAGCATATAAAGAATTATTAGAATATAACACTTATAAACTTAGGAAAACGACAACATCATCTACATTTTTAATCACATACTCAAGGGTACTGTTGTAAATCGGGCATTGGCATCTTTACATGGTACAGGGTTACGTTTACAGTCTCTGTATTTGTAGGTTGGCGTGTACCTGCAGATGTTGGTGGTCCCACGCCTTTGCTTGTCAGGGGAGGGGGTCTGGGTGAAGGGGGAATATCTTAGATTAGTAGTTCCAGCTCTCAGGTTCAATATATTTTGATTGATTGATAGATTGTTAATTGATTGATTGTTTATTTATTGATTGATTACTGATAATTGATTGATGATTGATTGATTCATTGGTTGTTGATTGACTAATTTAATGTTTATTGATTGATTGATTGGTTGTTAATTGTTGATTGATTGATTAATTGATTGATTAATTGATTGAGTGTAGATTGATTGCGGATTGATTAATTAATTGATTGATTGATTGATGGTTGTTAGATTGATTTGTTGATATATTGATTTTTTATAATACACATTCAGAATATGTTCCTGTATTATATTAGGGTATTAGGGTGTGCCTAGCCTGATTGATTGATTGATTTATTGATTAGGCACTCATGCTATCCACCTAGCTGTATTACATTGATTGATGGATTGATTGTTTGATTTGATTTGATTTGATTAGGCACACCCATGATATCCACCTGTACTACAACATGGTATCCTTGGCCTGGAAGGGAATTCAGTTGGAGAGAAGACTCGGCTCCATTCGGTTCTTCTTCACACTTGGTAACCATCAGAAAACCTTTTAATTTGAAGGAAGTATGCGCAATCTTCTTTTAAAAGGGATAATGCGCAACTTTTCTTTTGAAGGGCGTGTACGCAACCTTTTTTTTAATAGAGTGCGCGCAACCTTTTTTATAAATGAGTGTTCGCGAATAACTGGAGAGTTAAATTCACACTCTTCTATTACTCTTCATGTGTCAAGAATGTAGAATATAGATGTTTGACAGATAAAGAAGTTCAAATCGATTTGAATTATCTGCAGTAGAGTTTACTGTACAAAACACTGTTAATGTCAATAATGAATATTTGTACTGTACAGTAAAGTACAGTATACTGTATAGTAACGTAGACGATACAGTATACAAAGGTCAATAAAAAATTTTATTGCAGTACACTGTACGCTGTACAGTTTACAGCACCCTCATGTACATATTGCAGTACACTGTACACTGTCCAGTTTACAGTACCCTCATGTAAATATTGCAGTACACTGTACACTGTACAGTTTACAGTACCCTCATGTACACTGTACAGTTTACAGTACCCTCATGTAAATATTGAATGTTTTCCCAGAGTTCTTAACTCTCGTGTAGAATATTGTTGAACTGAAACACTTGATCTCGATTTCCAATTTGACACTTTTAAATTTGAGGATAAATGTTTGATCCCTTTTTTAAAGTATGACCACCACGGGATATTTATTAGAAAAGGGTTTGCTAAAAGATCAAAGCTTGATCCTGAGATTCACAAAAGAAAGTTTTGACATCAGTGCAGTACAGAACACTGTACAGTATGCAATACAATATTGCTAATAATGAAAGTTGGTTTAGTCCTGTTGACCCTGATGTCCGGGATAGCGTATGTACTGCTTGCTGTACTCGCTGCAGACCTGTCAGAGGTGAGTGCAGTACACTTATTCAGAGCTTGAAGTACATTTTAAAACAAGATTTTTTAATTTAAATTTTAAGTACATTTTGCAAGAAAATTCTGAAAAAAATGTCATTAAAAATGCGCAAAGTAATTGTAAAAATCCGCAACAGAATTTTTTTTAAGAGAACGTTGACAGCGATATATTTAGGATTATAGTTACATGCAGCAGTGCTCAATTGGCTTCAGTGGTGTTCTCTTTGCATTAAAGGTTTTATTTTAATTCTTTAGATTTAGAATTGTAATCTTCTGATTTTTTACGAAGGTTGAGGTATTGAATATTATTGTGACCTTAGAAGTATAGTATAGTCAGTATTTAATTCTTTATTTATACTCCTTTTTTTGCAAATCTGACATAGGCAGTATGCACTGAACATTCTGCATTTCACAGTTCAACTATATTTATTGTTCTCTAGGTTTTGACTTCTAAATACAGCTCGGAGACAGATAGAGAATCTTACTTTGGTTTTCTGGTTCCTATCAGGTTCTATTTATTTATATATTTATGTGCATATATATTATCTGTATTTTCCAGAAGCAATTCTGAGTTGAAGCATTTTTAGAAGTGTAGAAGTGTCTTCTTTACACGAATTATATGTATAAATTGTATTCATACACATTTATTATATTTACTTATGCTATTAAAAAATTATTCAAAGAACACAAATTTGCAATTTTTCCATATCCCGTCTTGATCAAAATAATTTTCTGTCCATTTTTCTCTACTTTTCTTTTCCGTGATGAATTGTTTATCTATCTAGATAAAATCTAGACAGATAGATGAATTGTAATGAACAGTATAGCGCTGTACTGTACTGTACTGTACTGTACTGTACTGTACTGTACTGTACTGTACTGTACTGTACTGTACTGTACTGTACTGTACTGTACTGTACTGTACTGTACTGTTCTGTTCTGTTCTGTTCTGTTCTGTTCTGTACTGTACTGTACTGTATTGTAAATCAACTGTTACATTAATTTCCGTCCTATGGCGATTTTTTTAAGGGGCTCGGCCTAGATTTCCACAGAAGGATGGTTGCCCTTTTATTTAAGCTTTATTTAAGTTGAGCTTTAAATGTTTAGATACGGGGTCTGGTTAGAGCTATTGCTAATCCAGGTTCTTGTCCCTAACACATCTTTCATAGGACACTTGGGTACGGTTTTATCATCATTATCATCATTCCATTATTGTAATAATCATCGCTTTATCAACATTATTATCATTTTCGTTATTGTCATCTTTATTAGAATAGTTATTAACATTATAATCATTACCTTATCGTTATCATTAAAAGCTTTATGAAATTATAATCATAACAGCAATGTTATCATTAAAATCACTATGATCATCATCATCATAATGATCATTATCATCATTATTATCAATATCATCAATATCATCATTATCACCATTGTCATCAATATCATCATTATCATCATTGTTATCATTATCATCATTATTATCATTGTCATCATCATCATCAATATCATCAATATCATAAATATCATCATTATCACCATTGTCATCAATATCATCAATATCATCAATATCAACATTATCATCATTATCATCAATATCATCATTATCATCATTATCATCATTATATTATAGTAATAAGTCATGGCCTTCATTAACATTATCCTTATTTTCAAAAAGTGTCTTCATTATCTTTATCATTTTCATCATAATTATCATTTTCTTTATTATCATTGTTTATTAGGTTAATCATTAATGTTACAGTTAACATGTTTATGATATTAATGATGTAAATAATATTAATTAAGGTGGTATATTAGCTGGTCTTGTATTGGTGAAAGGACCTATTGGAGGAATTTCAAGTATATTTAGATCATATAGGTAAAAGATTAACAATGAAGAATATAAAATAAAATTTTTACAACCTAACCAATATTTCACTACCTCTTATCAAATTGTGTTTGAACTTGAAATTACGGCCGTCCTTCTGTTCTACAGTTTTATAGGTCCCACTGTACACAAAAAAAAAGTAGTGCATTTCCTGAAGGAAAGACGACATCTGTTTGATTCTCTCTGTTTAGTATGGTTCCCTTTGGTCCAGGGTGTCTCCTTCTCTGCCTAGGCCTGGTTACTCAGTATACGGGTTACTTTAATGGCCACCCTCTCACAGGATGTTTACCCACTAGGTAGATTATTTATATATTTGTTAATAATAATCAGAGGTTTATTTTTACATTATTTACAATATTATTACGTGCATAGATTAATTAACAATAACAGATAGGACACTAGATGTCGTCTTTTTAAGATTTAGTGTTTTTTTTTACAAACACCCTGAGGCAGAAGCCCTTAGGAGTTCTGCGCAGGCAGCGCATTCTCTCTCTGTCTTGTAATTCAACGATGCTTGCGCAGAACTCCTTTGGGCTTTTGCCTCGGGGTTATTGTGACCGAAAACCAATAAATCTTGAAAAGACGACATCTAGTGTCCTATCTATTATTGTAAATTAATCTATGATTTATGATTACGTGAATTATTTCTAAAATGTTAAACACTAGTGGGTTCAGTAAACAATTGCTGTAAGGCCAATTTTAATTTCAATGGGGGGGGGGAAGGTACAAGTTAGTTGTAGGAGTATGGTAGCTGAAATGAGAATGTAGTATTGTGGAGAAATTTTTAGAATTCATTTGAGACATATATAACGTTTTAATGGTGTACAATACTACATTCTCAGTTCAACTACCATACATTGCCTGTCACTCGTTTTAAGAGAGGAAAAACTTGTCCCAAGTAGAGCCAGTCAAGTATTTGATTATATTATTATCTTTAACATTAAAACAGATTGAAACAACCATGATTATTACTTTTTATACTTAACGAAAAGGAGAAATTTAAAGGAAAAGAGTATAATTATTAATTAATTGGCATTGATAAGGTTACTTGCTTGATAAATAGTTCGTTAAAATATTCCGTAGAGTAGTTAATAATCGTGTTTATTGTTAACTGTTAATCTTTTATCTTTCATATCCTGTTCCTAGGTTATGAGGGACCGGATTTAATGAACTTGAGCTAGGGCTAGAGACAGTTCAACCATGTTTGTTGAATCGATGATTCAGTGTTTATCCTTGTCCTATAATCAGATTAGTAGTGGAATCTCGGGGATAGGAAGTTCAGCGACCTAGCTTAAACTCATTAGATTCGGTCCCAGATTATATTCTTGATCAAATAAAACCAGGGAGTAAGGAATAGAAGGGAGATATAACTGGCGCGGTTCGCCCTACCATATGATTATACATGCTTTGCAGACGGGTACTCCATTTGTGTAAGAAATTACCGCTTGTACCGCTTCTATTCCTTACTCCTTGATTAAAACCTTTTATAAAATATGTTCAGGGATCTGTTCTACCAATCTTGGGCTCAACCAAGCCTCCAGGGAGCTAAATATATCATTCTCTCCCCTCTTTACCATTTAGGTATTTTGTTTATTAGGAATCATTACATGGTTTTAACGTTGAATTGTTAGGTAGATTAACTGCCAGGTTGGTGGTGTTTGAGTATTTGAGTTGTGTTGACAAGAAGACTGGAGACGTAATTATATTGTTGCATGTCCGATTGGCGATTCACAATGGTACCCATGAAAACTTCATCTGAGCCTACTTGAAGAAAATCTCGTCATTTTACAAGAGATACATTTTTCAAATTTTCTTCCATATTTCTGTTGCATGTAGATTAGAAAATATTATTGAAAATCAATATTAATATTTTTTCATTTTAAATCAGATTGCAAACAACATATTTAACAATCACAAGCGTTTTACAGGATAAGTACAGGGTGGCCAAAATGTACGGATTGTACGGATTGTACGGATTGATTTTTTTTAACCCTAAAATTGTACGGATTGTACGGATTGTACGGATTGTACGGATTTGTTTTCAAATTGTACGGATTGTACGGATTTTATCCTGGAAAATACACCGTTTTTTTTAAATTTTCACTCATTT